GTCTCACAGCATTGAAGTCACCTAATATACACCACATAAATTTGCCAAAACCCCTTCTTGTCATGAGCAAATCATCCCATAACTTTCTCTTCTCACTAAGTCTACACAATGCATAGACATTCACCACAACACATAGATTTTCAGTAACCAATACCTGTAAGCAAATACCCAGGAATCCAGTACCAGAAAAGGAGAAAAGTATTTTACCTTTGGAAGTATCCCAAAGTGAAAGCATACCCCCACTTCTTCCAATGGAGGGCAAGGCACACCAATCAAAATCTACAGAACCCCACAGACGCGCATATAAGTTACTATTACATGTCTCAAGTTTTGTTTCCTGAATCGCCAAGAACTCTAGACCTTCAGAGCGAACAATCTCACACACCTTCTTTTGCTTTACCTCGCTCCTTAGCCCTCAACAATTAAATGAGTCAATCTTCATTTAGAATCCAAGCGAACCTCATGTTCTTTCACAATCGTTCTATCACGTACCTCCATCTCAATCAATTTCTCTCGAACCTGCCCATCGTTCCCATGTACAACCAAACCAACCTTCTTGCCAATGTCTAGTAACCTCGATGCCATTGCCTCATCATCACAATCTGTAGCAGTCATTCGCTCCCCCACCTCTACTGAAGGATTGGAAGGATGAGAGTTGTAGGAGCTCTTGGAAGCATTAGCTGAGACATAATCAGCTAGCGATACCTATCTACTAAGTTGCGATGGCATTGACGCTTCTTTACTGTGATTCCTAAGGTTGTTTTGAGGGAGTTCTATGAAAATTATGCTCTGATGCCTCTTCCCTCCTTCATTACCTCGACTACCTTTCATAGAGCGTGCCCTCCGAAGGGATTCACACACATTGACCCTCTCTTTCTCAATTCTGGATTGAAAGGGGTCGATTTGCGCTGTCCCAATTGTCTTCATATCTCGTGATTCTGAACTTTTCCAAATCAATGCATCTAATTCAAACGGGTCGGATAAATTCAACCCATCTCTTGCTATTGGGACTCCCTTCTCCACATTTTCAAAAGACTCATTCACAGCATCACAGATAGTCACCGTCAAACCTATAACATCCACACCACCAGCCCCCAAACCCTCATCCACCAAGCACCCTTTTGGTGACACTTCACCCCTAATCACAGAATTAACCAGACGACCCTTACTTCCGATATCACCTTGCAGCACACCCTCCTCACTAGAATAGTTATCCAACGCTTCCAACTCCATTGAACCAACCTCAGATGAGTCATTGCCGTCCTCAGAAGAGTTAGCCACGCCTTCCTCTATTGCGGCTACTACATCACAGGCATACTCTTCAAACATGGCTATTGAGTAAAAACGATTATTGACTTTCACTATAATGTTTTGCTTGATAAGCTCAGCAATGGTAGTACCTAATTGTATCCTCCCATAATCCAATCGTCACCTTTCTGCTTTGACTTGGTCTATTTGGATAAAATCACCAAGCGAAGAAACCAACTTACGAAAGAATAATTCACTCCAAGCATGCAAAGGGACCCCATAACAACGTACCCAAGTCACCCTCCGCGCAATTACCATACTTGGGTGTCATTCTCGTAGATCATAGAACCATTTCTCTCACCACAATTTGTTGAGTGATACTGTATCTTCTAAATCTACCCCCGCATCAGATTCTACCAATACCATATCATCACTCATGGTCGTGAGACTAATATCCAACATATTTTCTCGCAGGAGAGCCCCTCGCATATTTTTCAAATCCTGTTTTCTATGAAGGCGACCGACCATAGCACCTCTACACTCCTCAATTCGTCCCTCATCCACCTCAAACTCAAGGTGAGCCCAAGGTTTCTTCTTTTCCACCCACTTCTGCCCTATTGGTGTCTCAACTAGACGAGGTGCTTTAAGCTTATCCGCATACGTATTCCCTGACGTCTTTGTAGCTCCTTTGACAAAGGAGTGTCTCGTTTCACTGCCCTCCGCAGACACCTTTGTACCCACAGTTTTCTCTCTTGCATGTCTCGTCAAGTTGATAGACAAGTACATTCTGCCAATAACAATAGATCTAAGCTTAGCCTCCAAACTCTTGGCATCCGCCACATCCACAAAACGCATAAAACCAAAGCAACGTCCTAATTTATCACTCTTTTGAGATATGAAAACATCAACCACCTCCCCCACCGTTGAAATACCTGCCACAAGGCTGAGATATCGGTAACAAGTGAAAAATTCGTAAAAAAGTAAGACGTGGAATTGCTGAAAACTTTTCCAAGATGCCCACCAAATTTACCCCTTTCCCTAGACCTCTGTTCCACCATTGAATTCTCCAACTTCTCTTTTGCGTTTCAAATTAAGAAAAGACAAGAAAATTGGGTCCGTCGATGAAAGACTCAAACCGATGAATAAAAAGCGACAGCGTATTCAGATTTAAATATTCTACGATCAGCAATGACAAAAACAATAATCTTTCGTCGCCAATTTGAACACCGATTCTGCAATTTCAATTATCACCATTGCCACTATCTCACGCGCAATAATAATAATAATATGTTTAGAATGCAGCGTTAATAGTTGTCGCTGTTACAAAAAGAATTTCGAGCATAGGATTTGGTCTCGCTCAAAATTATATTTCGTGCGTTCAAGTCCTGGCTGCGAGATTTTGTCTGCAACTCGCAACTAAATGTCAAAAAAAAATATACGAAAGGGTGTATTTGATCCAAAATATTAGTAAAGTTGTCAATTTTAACGATTTGGCCCGACACATATTTAGCAATGGACTAACGCGAGTTGGGTTAAAAAAATTTGGAACAATTCAAATCGTTAAATAATAATCTTAACCTGACCTTTGTTACTTATTTGTAGTCCTGTTTCACAATTTTATTTTTTAAAAATGTATATTTTTATATATTCAAGATAAAATATTATGTTAACAATGTTTTTTAAAACATCAAATATCTATTTAATGGGTTTAAAACAAAATTTATTAAATTAATTTATTCAATAAAATTAAAATAAGTACTCTAACTAATTTTAAATATTTAAAAGTTTGATTTTAATACAGTGTTTACACTGTTAAACAATTATAATACATCATTGATGTGATTTAAATATTATTTATTATAAAAATTAATGATTTTTACTATTATCACAATCTTTAATTGAATGTAGTAATTTTTTTTATACTACTGGTGCATCTAAACCAAATTCATACTCAAAATAAAACAACTTAATTAGTACCTCAATTATTTAAACTTTTTTAAAATTGTATCTTTAATTATAACGACCTTTCTTTCATCATTCTCATTCTCATTCTCCTAGTTTAGAATAAAAAAAAATTATTATGTTAATAATTTTTAATATAAAATAATTAATAACTGTTATTTTATAAGTAATGATTTATATTTAAAATAAATATTACATAAAAAAGCATATTCACTTTTAAAAAATAGAAGAAATAATCTCATATAGCATGCGATGCGATTCTCATGATTATAAATTTTTCATTAAAATTATGATATTAATAACATTGATTGTCTACTTTATAATAGATTTTAAAAACATTTTTTTTATCAATGCCGTCAAAATAGCTTATCGCAAAATGTTTTAAATTTTCATGAAATATAAATACATTTACTAAATTATTTTTTAATTCTATGAATATCCTCATTAAAGTTAATAAATATCTGAAAAGGATAAACTTTTAAAAATATATATTACTAATATTTTAAAATCTAATAATTACTCATAAAGCATAGTTTTGCCTAATAAATTCAATAAAAAATTCTACAAGTGATTGCAAATGTCACGATGGGCACATAAATACTTCGGATTAGATGTCAAAAATAGATTATTTTAATAATTAATTATTTCTATAGTCTTTTTATCGAAATAAATTTTGTTTAAATATCCTACATAAAAATTAGTTTACAAATAATATTTTTTTAATTGTTTAAAAAATATTTTAGTAAAATTACAAAAGGGTAAGTAGTTCATTTTTGTATTTAATGTAATTAAATATTTGTCGATAAAATAAAAAAATAAACTAAAAATAAACCATTTAAATAAATAATGACATTAATAGCTTTTATTTGTATCAACAAGATAATAATATTGAGAAAGAATTCAATCCAAACTTGCTGCAATGAGATGGAAAACAATAACAAACATTTATTTTCCTTTCCTAAAAGAAATGCCTATAAAAATAAAGTATAAAACTATAAAAGTAATGTATAATAATTTTTTTGAGTTTGTATTCATTTTTCTAACTTATGATTATACTAATTATTAACTAATTTCACTTAGAGAGATTGAAAGGGGGAAAAAAATAGGAAGAAAGAGTGAAAAATTTAACAATATAATGTGACAAGAAAAAACTGTGATAGAGAAATAAAATAAATATACCGTGCAAGAGTAGGAATATCATTGCTGTTTGATCATTCCGGATTGTCCGTGCCTTTACAGATAAAATAATTTTTTAGTGACTAAAAAGAGACCCCTGACGAGACTCTCAACCAAGACTGCACCAAGAGGAGGTAAATTAGGTGTAATGGAACGATCCATGAAAGTGGTAATTTAGCAACCAATATGAACTACCTCCAGCCATAATTTTTCCTCTTAACCACAAAAGACAGCAATGTGTGTGTGAATTTAGTAAGAAATATATTTCAAGGAATAAACGGAACAACCATGTTTAGATAATCAAAATTAATATTATTTTTAAATCACATGACCGTTTAAAACAATTACATGACTTCAGTAGTTAAATCTAATGGGTCTCGTACGCACACATATAGAAGACACAAGACATGGGCAGGTAAAAGTTTTGCAATACCATGGCCCCATTGCTAAGTGCTTGCCATTGCGACCGTACAAAAATACTCAATTTTCGCTGACTAGCTAAGATAAACGATGCAAAATAACATATTTTAATTTTACACAATGCACCAAAGCACACGCTACATCCAACAAGAATTTAATAATCATGAGATGCCAAGTGATCTTTCAATCTTTTAGGAACAAAATTCGTTGATATAATTGATTCATGAGGTGGGAAAAATCATTACAAAGTAATAATAACGTGGACATGGTTCTCTCAACTCTAGCTATTCCAAATCTCAAGAATCATATCAATCCCATTAGAAATTTCCGCTCCAACCAATAATTTCCCTTCCCTTCAAGACATAGGCAGGTAGGGAAGAAGATAAGAAAATCAAACAAGTAAATAGCCAGTACCTTAGCACTTTTTACAACATTATAGTACCTCACTACCTTCGTAAAGTAAAACCCATTGAATGTGATATTATTCCCATTCAATAGTCGATGGTGGCTTTGACGTAATGTCTTGCACAACGCGGTTTACCCCACGGACACCATTACAGATCTTTCGCGCAACATCGTCAAGGAACTTGTGCTCAAAGTAATACCTGGCGTATATTACGAGAAGTAGTAACTAAAAGAGCTGTAAAAGATGATAGTGATGGGCAACAGTACTGAATGTTTTAATGGATTAACAGGAAAGACCATTTAAAGCCACCAGAATAGTTTAAAAGAACTAGCATCACAAGTAAAACATCATGTCCTGAAAGTAATGTTTTTTTTTACAAGGATAAGGCCCCTGGACTCAATTAAGATCATGATATAACTTCACGAGAAGAGAAGGTGACACCATTTTCTCTGAAATATTTCAAAATTTTATCATGTAATTTAGGTCTTGTTTAAAATTTCATGTGGATGTGAAAGTTCTTATACTCTTGTACAAGCACCAATATTGATTCCTTCCCCTGTATCGAATATATATGCAAAAACAGAAGCAATATTAAAAAGTAGAATATCCTGCTACATAATGGGAATCACATCACATGCATACCAAACTTTATTTGTTCCATTCAATAGTATGCTAGAAGCATGTTAGACCTGCTATTGGTAATTGGGTGCCATTAAAAATAAAAGAAAACTAAATGCTATGCAGCAGCAGCAAAGCATAACCAAATATGCTATTCACAATGAATATTCTGCCAACGGAGCACATTCAGCAGTAATCGAAAAAAAAAAAGTTATCCAGCAGCATACCCAAACATATATACAGTTGAAATCTTACCAGTCTGCAGTCATTCCATCTTGGCTAGTAACAGCTCTGAGAGCTACAACATGGGAGTGTGTTCTTTGATCACCTTGAACTCCAACAGATCGAATTGGCAAGAAAACTGCAAAGGCTTGCCATATTGAATCATAAAGCCCAGCATCCTTGATTGATTGGATGAAGATCTCATCAACCTGGAAAAATAATTTTTGGACTTGAACACTAAAGGGAAATCAATATTGCAAACACACGTAAGCACAAAATATCAATCTACCTGTCGAAGAATATCTAAGGCATTTCCTTCTGTCACATCACCCAAAACTCTCACTGCAAGACCAGGCCCAGGAAATGGGTGACGTTTTAGAAAAGCCTCAGGAACATTCAAGATCCTCCCCAATTGACGAACCTATATACATATGAAAATAACAAAAGAAAAAATTGTCAACAGATAACGCAACAAAACAGATGGATATAATCTGATAATCCAAGCGCAAGCAAACAGATCAAAAGCAAAACCTCATCTTTGAATAGAAGTTTAAGGGGCTCAATAAGTTTCAATTTCATATCCTTTGGAAGACCTCCAACGTTATGATGGCTCTTGATGGTATGGGAATGAGTTCTCCCACTTCCAGGGGGTGGACAGGATTCAATCACATCCGGATACAATGTTCCTTGAACTAAAAAAGAAGGTTTCTTCCCTAATTTCTGCTCTAACTCCTGAGCAAAAGCATCGAAAATACATATAAACTCTTTTCCAATAATTTTTCTCTTCATTTCAGGATCTGTCACACCCTTTAGCTTCGTAAGAAATTGATTCGAAGCATCCACGCACACTACTGGCAAATGAAGATCCTTATCAAATGTTTCCATCACACGCTCCCTCTCTTTATATCTAAGCAACCCATTGTCCACAAAGATACAATGAAGCCTGTCTCCAATAGCCTTATGCACAAGAGTGGCAGCAACCGTGGAATCCACACCACCAGACAAGGCACAGATAACATGCTCATCACGCCCGACTGTATCTTTGATCACTTTTATTTCTTCCTCCATCACATCCTCCATCTTCCACCCTGCTTCCACTCCACAAACGTCAAAAAGGAAATGCCGTAGCAATTCCATTCCTTCTGGCGTATGCGTCACCTATGCACAAAACCAGAACCAACATTAATCCCTCACTCAGAGCACACACTAAAGCCTTCGACTCTCAAGAGACAAACATAACAAAAATCAGAACAAACCTTCACTTCTGTTTTCAACATTGTATTGCGAACTCGTTTTAATACTTAACTTTACCAACACTGAGAATGCCATTCATATTAATCCTTTTTCAAAAACAGTAAGAACTATACAGCAAATGGCGTCGAAAACTAAAATAAAATTTAAGAAATCCAGAAACTAAAATGAACAATAAGCAATTAAAAAAATTGAATCAATTACAACGGTACCTCGGGGTGATACTGAAGGCCGTAGAACTTGGCGGAGGTGTTTTCAATGACAGCAACAGCACCTTGGTCGCTACGAGCAACGACATCGAAGCCCGAAGGAAGCCTAACGGCCTCGTCGCCGTGGCTCATCCAAACAACTTGTCGTTTACCAACTTTGTCGGAGGAGAAGAGTGCGGAAGGTTTCTCAACGAGGATTTCCATACGTCCATACTCTTGTTTGTGGCCGACGCAAACTTCGCCGCCGAGACGCTGGACGAGGAGTTGAAGGCCATAGCAAATGCCGAGTACGACGACGCCGTTTGACTGGGCCCAGGAGAGGAAGCCATCGGGGAAGGAGGGGGAGTCAGGGGTGTGAACGGAGTGGGGACCACCGGAGAGAATGACGACGGAGGGATTGAGGCTGGTGATGGAGGCGAGTGAGGAGGTGCCGGAGATGCAGAGGGAGAAGACGGAGAGGCTTCGGATCCGGCGAGTGATGAGATGAGTGTATTGGGAACCGTAATCGAGGATGAGAACGAGCTCTGATTTCACGTTCTTTGGATCCATTTGGGTGGTGATGTAAAGTGTGAAATGCTAGCTAGGGTTTATGGTAGTGTTGCTGATAGGCCAGGGTTTATGCAATGCTAATTGTAAAGCAAGCACTTGTTCTTTTTTAGTGAAGACCAGAATAGTACTTGCATTTGAATAAGAGATCCTCTCTTAGTAATTTATTAATTACTATTTACTATAATTCATTGTAATTAGGAATTAGGTTTGGCGGGAACCTTTCCGTTTTTTTACGTGCTTTTTGCACCGTCCAATCTGATTCTGCCAGCTTCATAATGCTAATAACTAGGTGTTTATATTTTTAATCTTTTAGGCTCACACCAATATAACTTTTTAAGGTTTGTTTATTTTTAATTTAAAATTATTTCTAGAAAAAATTAAATTTTGTTTAATAATTTAGTTTTGTAAAACTGCTTTTAATTAAAATTTTACATAATACTTCTGTTTTTTCAGTTTTAAAATTTGGAAATAAAAAATTATTTTTAAAAATAGTTTTTAAAACTTGCATTAATAAACAAGTTTTTCTGTTTTTTATTTTTAAAAATAAAAAGCTATATTTAAAAGGAGAAAACAAATAAGCCAATTGTTTTATAGTTTAAAATGTCATTATATTAACTATTTAAAAACTATTATTAAATTAGTTTTTTAAAAAATAAATTTACTATTAAATTAGTCCATCATTTAATAATAATATCACCAAATTATTTCTTTTGGTATGTAAATTAATTGACAGGAGTAATTTTATCATTAAAATAATTTACATGCATTGATTACTAATAATATGTTTGATTGTATGTCAAATTCACTCAAAGGTCGATATATTTTAATACTAAAAATTATAGCTTTCATGTCTACAAGTTATACCTTTCACGTTAAAATTAGGTTTTTAAAATGCACTAATTGATAATGACGAAGCCACAGAGATTTGAACAAAATATTCCCATAGAAATAATACTATAAAAGGATATGAAAAGTGAAGGCATCAGGTATAGATTCTTTGAATTGCATATTAAAATGCAAAAAAAATAAATAGTAAAAATTGTTATGACATCAAAGTATTCCCAATAAATAGAATATTTTAAAAATGAGTGTTCATATTGTATATAAAAAATTATGTTATACTGATACAGTTGTCACTTCTAATATACCTGAGGAAGCATAATATTACCTGCTGCTCACCAATGCCACCAAAGTGCTTTATTATCCACCGAGTAAGTAGACATAGGTTCATTGAAATGTATCATGTCTCTATATCCATCTCAGATGCGATTTCCAATACCAGTTTTTCAAGAACATCTTCCTCCACCTCCATTGCAATATCTTCTGTATCAACTTGGATATTTAGCCATGATCCACGTCTAGCTAAGTCCTTTTCTATAAGCTTTTCTAATGTCAGTGGTGATGGATGAGGGTGAAAGTGCAAGTTAACAAGTTCTGTAATCTCTTTGACCAGAAGTTTCTTTACAACATATGCTTGGACATTTGGATTTTTTGATGAAATATGATGTGGGAAACCATTGTTCTGGTATACCTCTATGAAAGCTTCAATGACACAGTCAAGCAACATTTTATCACTAGAAAGTTGACTAATTAGTTCCTTCAGTTCATCAAAGGTGGATGGATCTAGCAATTGGTTTGATGATCTCTTCATACTAAGTTCATCCCATTTTAAGCTGAAAGCTTGCTGAATTTCCCTTACATAGTCTAAGATGTCCTTGGAGGAGGCTAAATTGTTCATTGGATCTAAAGAGGATCTTATAAGGTCTGCAAAATGGTTCTCTTCAAACTTGTTATCAAGCATTGCTTGTATTGGAGATTCATCTGCAGAAGTTCTAAACTGTCAAGTTGGCTTGACAATAGAGTGAATAGAAAAAACAAACTTGAATATCTCCAAATTTAAAACTATGGAAAATGCTAACGAGTGCTTCAAGGGTGTTACTGGTTAAGGAATTAAAAGTATAAATTTGTTACTGGAAAACGTAAATAGGCACTTGGTCCTATAATGTTCAATGCATTCCAACGTACTTTTCCAAGAAAAATGTACTATTTATTGATTTTTTAAATAGATCATAAGGTTACGTATTAGGAACACCCTAAAACTATACCTGTTTGAAAGATGGTGATTGGTGGGGTGGTAGCATCATGCCCAATAAATTTCTCAACTCTATTTCCCGTATTTACAGTATCTTCTGTTCTCCGATAGGATGAAAGCCTTGATGGAGCAACCTCTGGTGAAAAAGTCGAAGTCTGGATCTCTGGATGCATATCCTAATCAACTCCAAATTTCATTATTTGCATCAGAGATAAAAAATAGAAAGATAGAAATCATTTTGATGGATTTGATTACTCACGAGGGGGGCACTTAAGAGGGTGAAGTGTCAAAACTGAAAAGTTATATTAATTGAGCAATCCATGGTTGAGAATGAACTAAAATACATGTACATATTTAACATACTACAGAGTTGTAAGAAACTGCTACATTGATTTACAATCTCTTATAACCCCTCATTTAAAGGTTTAGGGTTTAGGGTTTAGGGTTTAATGGTTGAGAATGAACTAAAATACATGTACATATTTAACAAACTACAGAGTTGTAAAAATCTGCTACATTGATTTACAATTAACTCTTATAACCCCTCATTTAAAGGTAGCCAAATCCATAATTGATAAATGTGAAAGAGAGATTTCTGTGTCACTTCAGAGTAACTGTCAAAAACTACTTACCAGAAAAGATTCACTTCCTTCTGTTGTATTATTCATGTCAATGTTCTGACTAGGACTTTCCTCGTATCTGCCATCTGGTTCAGAAATTCTCTCGTATATTGTAACAAGATTTTATGATATAGATGAGACACACATTAAGTATATAGAGCATACCTCTGGGAATATCATAACGTGCCCGTAGATTGTCACCAGGAACACTATTTCTGATACTAATATCGTCAGCAAAACATTGCAACTTATCAGTAAGTATACTAACAATGGCGACTGGTGGATCCTTGATTTTTGGTCTCAAAGAATTATAGGAACCATTTTCCCCATCTTTTTGAAGCCCCAACCTGGTTCTAAGAACCATTTGATAATCATTGTAATATCTCATCCCTTCAGGGATGGAGCTGTGCTCGCAGTACCTATGAAACCTTGGCAAGTACAAAAAGTCAGGAAGAGGAATTGATCTCCCTACAGAGTTTGTGCACTGTTTACATTCCTCAATTCCACAGTTTAGCATCTGAGATGGACCTTTCCTACCTTCAACTTCAACATTTATGTTCAATATATTTTGCTCAGAAGGACCAACTGAAGCATTATTTGTGTTCTTACTGCAACTTCCACCGAATGTAGCAGCTTCCAGCCTCATACATAACTCAGAATTCTTCAATTTGATGATACCATCCCTCTTCTTCAAATCAAGACATGAATTCAACCTTTTTCCAGTATTAGTATGGATATTAATTGCTGAATTTCTTTTATCAATTTCCAATTCTTTAACTTTTTTACCATCTTCCAGGCCCTGGGAACTGCTGGGAAATTCACATGACTTTCCATCATCTGTCCTACATTGCTTTTCTTGTCTCCTTACTGTCATGACATGCCGCAATTTTCTCTTTATACGACCAAAGGTATAATGTGAAGGTCTAATATCTTGTGCATTAGAACTGAAGCTTGTTTCAGCATTCTTTTTCACATTAACAGTGCCAGGCTTCAAAACCACTATTCTGTTTGGAGACTGAGGTTTAAAACTTGGCCTTAAATCATACCTATCAAAGGACTCAAAAGGTTTTACACATTGTGTATTATTACTTTTTTGAGGTTTATTCAATCTAGTCGTCTTTTTTAGCCTTGCCCGATATGGTTCTTTCACTTGAGAGCTTTCTAAGTCATGAATCTGTTTAACTAACAGAGAGTTTGGATCTTGCAGAAGTTTTATGAAAAGTTCCTTGTTTGAATATAAAATCTGTAAAGCATCCAAGAATTGATTAGGCTTATCGGCTTCCCCATCTTTTCCTAGATAACTTGTATTAACAAATCTCTGATCAACAATCATCTTTGTTATTTCATTTCTCCAATCTGCTTCCTGATCATTCTCCACGCAACTGATACTTTTACAACCATAATCTCTTTTTCTTCTAGATTTTACCTGTAGGCAGAATTGTTCCATCAGTGCTACTAAACTATCAATGGTAATAGGGTGAGAGAAGTGGATGACACCATTTTTGCTCCATCTTGCCAACGATCCGTTGCAATTTTAAAGCTTAATTAAACTTCTAGATTTATTATGCATGAATTATTTTTCATGAAACTAGTCACTAGATCCTCAAAACAAGGGACAGTAATTTTTGATATCAAGCCTTAAGGTGATGGTGATTTTTAAAATATATAGTTAGGATGGAGTAGAAATATATATCAGTACAAAATATAATTTTTGAGGTCTTTGAGATTTAAAGTGAAATGTTATTAAAGAAAAAAGAAGATTTTTTCACCTCCTAAAATCGTACACCCTACCCCTACACCAATGTATTTGTGTAGGGGAAGAATTGAGAGAAGAAAAAAGGGTTGGAAAGGAAAAGAATGTTCTATGTCAAGACAAAGATGGCTATGTAAAGGAAGATGCTTTCCTCTCCGTATATCAGAGAGATGGTTAACAAACTTCCTTGACGTTAAGTTGAATAACACGAACACTTCATTAAGTAATGAGAATGAGATATAGAACATACTACAGTTAACCAATGACTATCACTAGCAACTTAGACATTACGGCAATTACTTTGATGAGGGACGAGTTAGGATATGTAGCCGTGTAAAAAGGGTCAAAACCATGATAAATTTCATGAAGTAGAATCTTAAAAGCAAGGGCTCCTGTTATAACATCAACTTTAGAAATGGAAGTATGTGTGACCAGAACTTACCCCAATTTGAAGGTACTTCTCATCAACTGTACCAAGCACATCTGAGCTACTTCTGGAGTTTCCATTTCCTGCAGCTTGGAAAAAAAAAATAAAAATTAAGGGCCAAATTGAATACATGTAATTTACTGACCTTCAGAGAATCAAAAATTGATTTAATTTATAACAGGTTTGGGTAAAAACACATCAAATTGTGGCACAAATTTCTGGCCCAAAATCATTCATTTTAAATTTGTGGCCTATATATTTAGACTTGTACTACATGCACAATTCATCCAACATTTCAACACTATGAAAATAATAACCTTTCTGGATGAAAATTCTACTACCCATTTTAATAAGCTAATATATATATATATATATATATATATATATTGAACTCTTACCATTAACATGTGCGCTGAAATGCCTCCTATTGGAAACCAACCTTTTGTCAGCATGATCTTCACGGAAATTAAAGATTCTAAACATTCGCCACGTGCAGCCTGTCTCGTACGTTTGGTTAACCAGGGGAGGAGATCTTCTCGCCATGATAAAGAGGAAACTCGAAAACTATTTTATATTATCTAATGATCTTTTAGCCAATTTTAATGGGAAAATCACAAAAGCCTGTGCAAGCACAGAAATAAGAAAAAGGTCAATCCTTATAAATGAGAAATAATCAAAGATGTTCAGCTTAAGAATGCCATCCAAACAATTTAGAATTTAATGTTGTAATTGATAATCATTTTCAAACCCCCACAAAAAGGTTTTACTATTAACCATTGAAAAGGGAACCAAAAAAAAAAACAAATTTATATATGAAAAAGATTAAAACTTGGAAGAGTTCAATTTTACAATTGAATTATCATACTTTCTAAAACCAAGCAACCATACATATATATTGGTGATTGATCTACAACCACTTGAGAAATTGACATATCCACCCAACCACCGAACAAAAGGGAAATAAAGGAATGAAAAAAAATCCACCATGTCTGTAAAAAAACACGAACACGTGAAGACCCAATTCCTAAAGTCCGTTTTATAGACAAGTAATCACATTTACCAACACATCAAAGGAAGTGTTATTATGGAAACCTTTTTTTGTGTATGCATCATGCCGTGTAAAGCTGAATCCTTTAATTACATCATCTTAAGTGATAACTTCCCAATCCTTAAAATTATATTTCTAACAATTGTAAGTATATAACACGTGTGTGTGTGTGGAAATAGAGTGAGATATACCTGGATTACAAAGCCCAAATTAAAGTCCTGCTGCAGCTTAAAGGCTCAAACAAGTGCATGATGATGTAGATCTAGAATAAGAGAAAGTTGAACGTGGAATGAGAAACAAATAGTAAATGGGATTATATTCTCAATGGACATAAAAAAATAATAATATACGACAATGACTTGTAAGTTGTAAAATAAACAGCGGTTGAGGGAGCCTTTCAGCTGAAGGCAACTTGGGTTCCTTCGCTTTGCTTTGTTTTCTCATATTTTTCTCCATCACTTCCGTGCATTGCAGTTGCAGTTGCAATAACAAATCCAAATCCGCCCTTTATCTTTGTGTCCAGTGTCTAATATTCTGACCCACTATTGTTGAATCCAGCTCCGTGATGTCTCGAAATGTACCAAACGGTGTCGTTTCTTCCATCTTTGGAGCTTGTCGTTGAGTACTCGACAAGACATCTTGCTTTCATTCATGTTGGGCGGGGAACACACCCTGGCCCTTACTCCATTTGCCTATCAATTTGAACTGTTCATAAACATGGCTCCCTCGTAACATCATAAAATGGTCCCTAATTCATTTATTATGTATTTGTACATTTACGTTAACTCACTCTATCTTTTGTGCTTACGTATGTGCAAATAACATTGTTACTGTCCATTTAATTAAGGTGCAACTACCTCTCTGTTCTGTTATCGTTGCCTGTCATGGGATTCTACATATATTTTGCCTATCGCCACTACACAACCAACAACTCCATTTTTTGTAACGTCTAATCAATCAATCCCACAAATTCTATTTCCAAATTAACAGCATCAACAGTGATCATATATATCATTTATTGTTGGCCTGTCGGTCAAGTGTGGACCTCGTTTTAATTTAGTATACATTTATATTATACATAGAACAATGTTTCCAATTGCATTGCATGTTGTTGTTTAGGATATTTTATGCTTTGGTTTAGAATGATTTTGAAATAGAAAGGTCGTTTCATGTTTTATTAAAAAAAATAGTTTAATTTGGATCAGTTTAAGAATAATATTAAATTTGAACTAGTCTAATTTTATGATTTAAATTGTACTAATTACTTCCTTGTATGTATCTACAAACAAATAATATTTTATTAGCCGAAAATTGTAGGAAATATCACATAATAACAAAACATTTTAGACTAATTTATTGATACCAACATTGTAAAATACTATTTTAAAATGCCTATAGACTGTAACAGAGGACTGCATTTTTTTTTTTTTGTCAACATAGAAAACTGCATAGAATTATAGGCCGAGCCCATAGAAAAGAAGAGAGTGTATCCACGAGATCGAGTGCGATGATTGGGCTCTGGATTAGGCATAGACCCAATAAGTTATGCTAAAACCCAAATAAACCCCTGAGCTCTGCTAAGCTAACAGAGTGTCTTTGATGGCGTTATCATATGTTTCTCTTCCACACTTGCTTTGTGCGACAACGCCATCGAACCCAAACTCCATCACTGTAAAATTCAAACACTGTCGCAAAGCTTTGACTTCTACTTCCTCACCACTCTTCTTCCGTTCCATTCCGAATCCATTTTTCAACGTTCGAGTTCCGCGGGCCATTGGGCCTGATGGCAAGTTTTACCCAAGCCCGGCCGACGACGACCCACCGGAGGCAGCTGAAGATTCCTCTCACGGCTTCTCCACGTTCCAGCAAATTCAGCGCCAAGCCGACCGCGCGCGCCAACTTCAAGAAGAAGATTTCAAGAAGAACCAATCCACTTACCTTGCGGCCATCGCCGACGTCGAAGATGCTCCCGACGGGGAAGCTCCCGACGACTCACCCGCGGAGGATTTGTTCGGCGAAATCGACAAAGCCATCGCGCTCAAGCGCAAAGAGTTCGTTCGCCAGGGGCTTCTCGAACCTAATCCCAGGAAAGAGCAACAACTCTCCGTCGCCGTCGGCGAAGACCTTCAACCTGAGGAGGTCGTTGATTTGGAGGAGATTGAACGCCTCCAGGGACTCACAGTTCTTTCCGACGATATTCCCGGCGAATTCGACGACGGAGGAAACGGAAATGGAGGTATGAAACCTGCGTCTCCATTCGAAATTGATTTTGAAAGTTACGGAAAAAGTAGGGCTAGGATTGTGGAAGCTAGGTTTAGGATGAGTTTGGCTGAGCTTTTAGATGAGAGTAAGGTGGTGCCCGTCTCTGTGTATGGTGATTTGGAAGTTGAAATCACTGGGATTCAGCACGATTCTAGGATTGTTACTGCTGGTGATTTGTTTGTTTGTTGTGTTGGGCAAAAAACCGATGGGCATTTGTTTTTGTCTGAGGCTGATAAGAGAGGTGCAGTTGCTGTTGTAGCTAGTAAAGAGATCGACATTGAGGATACTTTGGGTTGCAAGGCTTTGGTTATTGTGGAAGATACTAATGCTGTTCTTCCTGCCTTGGCTGCGTCGTTTTACAAGTATCCTTCCAAGAACATGGCTGTTATTGGGATAACTGGGACTTATGGCAAAACGACTACCACCTATTTGATCAAAAGCATGTATGAAGCGATGGGGCTGCGCACTGGGATGTTTAACTCGGTTGCTTCTTATGTTCATGGGGATAATAAATTGGACTTGCCTAACATGGCCCCTGATGCTGTTTTGGTTCAGAATTTGATGGCAAAAATGCTTCATAATGGAACTGAGGCAGTGGTCATGGAGGCAGCTTCTCATGGGTTGGGTCAGGGAAAGTACGAGGAGGTTGATTTTGATATTGCGATTTTCACTAATTTGAGTCAGGAGGGTGATGGAGAAGCACAGGCTAAACTGTTCTCGAGAATGGTGGATCCTGAGCGGCACAGGAAGGTTGTTAACATTGATGATCCCAGTGCACAGCTGTTCATGTCACAGGGGAATCCAGGAGTTCCGGTTGTGACATTCGCCTTGGAAAATAAGAACGCAGATGTTCATCCCTTGAAGTTTGAACTCTCCCTGTTTGAGACACAGGTGTTGGTTAATACACCCACGGGGATACTTGAAATTTCATCGGGTTTGCTTGGAAAGCATAATATTTACAACATTCTTGCTGCTGTGGCAGTTGGCATTGCTGTTGGTGCACCCTTAGAGGACATTGTTAGAGGGATTGAAGAGGTTGATGCAGTTCCTGGCAGGTGTGAGTTGATTGATGAGGAACAAGCTTTTGGGGTGATAGTGGACTATGCTAGTAGTCCTGATGCATTATCTAGGTTGCTTGATTCTGTAAGGGAGCTTGGACCTCGCAGGATTATAACTGGTATATTTGTTTTTCTCTTAATTGCTGTGGGATTTCCTTTGTAATTTTATCCTGGATATGAAAAAACTAAAGTAAAGCATTTTGTGTTAAAATGTTTATTCAAAGACTTGTATTATTTGATCTAAATATGCTTTCATTATTTTGCATGTGACAATTTCTTTTTTCATTTTGAAGTCATTGGTTGCTGTGGTGAGGATGACAGGGGGAAGAGACCTGTCATGACCAAGATAGCAACAGAAAAAAGTGAAGTGACTATGCTGACATCTGACAATCCCAAGAATGAAGATCCTTGTATGTATTTTGACTGTAGAATTTTGTGCATGCTTTAACTAGCTGGTGAACAGCTTCAGAATCCAAATTCTGATGTGCCATCTTTACTCTTTATCCAGTGGATATATTGGATGATATGTTAGCTGGGGTAGGATGGACAATGCAGGACTACCTGAAATATGGAGAGAATGACTACTATCCACCTCTTCCAAATGGTAATAGGCTTTTTCTCCACGACATTAGGAGGGTAGCTGTGCGAGCTGCAGTTGCAATGGGAGAGGAGGGGGATGTGGTTGTAAGTTATCAAAACTCCATTCTATATTGCATTTCCACCTTCTAATATAGAATTGGGCTAAGTTGTGATGGCCCAGAAGTCACTTAATTGAAAGCATTTTAGTGCTTGGCGCTGCATAAGGGACTTTTAGTTTTGGTTTTCTGGCAATTTTGAAGAATATTAAGATGTTATCCAAGTGATATTTCAATGAAGTAGGAGAGTTTTCTAAAGAGGTTGCAAATGAAACAAACCACAAGGAACAACTATATTCAAATTTGTTATTAAGAGAAAAATTGCTAGAAGCTTAAATTTAAACACAACGAAGAAACATAGAATAACTGTTTGCCACAACCCACTAATAAATCTTACTGCATGTGGATGACTTATCTGCTAATATTCAGTTTCATGTATGGCATTTTTGTGATCCAATGGAATCACTTTCATGTAGCCTATTGAAGCCTTAGCTATTCCTTCCCCCATTTTTCTTATCTTACTTGTGATTGTTGCACCACCATCCTTGTAGAGAATGCCTAAACTAATTTTGCTTTATGATTTGTGTTTATCAAAGTTGAGAATACTTCATGTTGACTGTTATTCTACTGTTGATATTGTCTTCTATCCAAGCTTTAGATTGATTGTTCAAAAATTAAAATACTGAAAGCATTACAAGTGGTGTTTAATAACTTGTATCCTCTTTTGGACATCTTTTTAAATTAATTATTTAAGAACATCTTATCATATACAAGTTAAAATAACGCACATAAAAATTAGTATACATGATGGTATTGTTGATTTGTTGGTTGTGATTTGTGAAACAAGGTTATACTTTTACATGCATGTGCAGGTTGTCGCTGGCAAAGGCCATGAAACATATCAAATAGAAGGTGATAAGAACGATTTCTTTGATGATCGAGAAGAGTGCCGAGAGGCATTGCAGTATGTCGATGAGCTTCACCAAGCTGGAATAGATACAAGTGAATTTCCATGGCGGTAATGTCAAATGATCTCCTCTTTAAGTTCTTTTTATAAATTTGCAAGGCTTGTTACTGGCATTATTCGTCTTAAGACCACACCTGTAACAAAATAAATAATAATTTTTAAAAAAAAATGAAAAAGTCACATGTTTTTGTCTATAATTTCATCTCTGTCTCTTGCTGTTGTTGTAGGTTACCAGAGAGTCATTGATTCTAAAGGATGTGGTGATAAGTATTGATTACTGCGTTACTTGCTCGCTGTGTACAAATCGAGCAAAAGGGCCTTTCCATGATCGAAGGGCTCTCTTTCTTTGGGAGAACATTGGAAACAACCAGGAAAAAATGGCCTTCTCAGTTTGAGTGGCAATAGCTTTCAGATTCCAGCCGAAAATTGCAAGGTCGGCATAGTACAGTTTATCCAACCGTATATTTTGTTTATACAAATGTAGTCATATTCTTTTTCCAGGCCTCTATTGTCCTTTCCACTGTAATTCTACGTCCTCTAACTAAATTATTGAAAAGTGATGCAATAGTCAGCTTCCTCTTACCAAATTCAAGTCTTTATTCTTAGATTAAGATAGTTTCTATACGCACTTTCTTCCTACACAGCTACGTGTCCGCGTTATTTATGATATGTCTTGTGAGTTTGTGTATCAAGTTCATGTATTTTCTCTTCGATTAATTATTTTTATCTTTTTTAAAATCAATACATAAATTTAGACATGACAGAAGTGGTTGTACCTATCATTATAATCATTTTTATTAATCAAGTTAATTTTTAATAATTTTAATGTTTAATTTTTAAAATATGTATTTATATTTTAATTGATAAAATAATTTCTTATTGATCAAGTCATTCTGATATGAACTTGACCGGATCAAGCGCAATATCCAACAATAGTTATAAGAAGTTTCAAAGACACCAGAGTACTGACTGAGCAGCAAAACAATTGTGTAAACAATCTACATATAGAGATGGATCAAGATTTCTTTATGGTGACTTCTTTCAAGAGTCCATAAGAAATGACACCGTTGTTGCAAAATTGGCTGTCGAACATCAGAAGAGCCCGTTTCTTTTGTCAATTTTGGATCCAAATAGCTCTAGGTGGATTGAATCCAAAGAGCCCGTTTATATTGGGCATTGGAACTTAAAATGTCATCTGCCGATCGTAGGAGAAATGTGAATCAAAGCATAATCAGTTAAAATGTTTTTTTTTTGTGCTTGACAAACCAATTGATCGGTCAAGTAATACAAAATTTTAGGTGTCACTTGGGAATGTTTGGTGAAGTCATTAGTTTTATCCTTCAGTTGTGTAGCATCTTCAACTTTGCATTTAATATTGTAGTCACATCCAAGACCTGTATTGAAAACTCCAAATTCAGTATTTCAAGGATTTTGTTTTTAATTTGCATGACCGAAGAAATCACACTACGAAAATTTAAATCATCCAAGTAAAATCTCTTCAATTAGTCAAAGTGAATGAATCTTCATGGAGCCAAAGGAATTCCCGATGCATAGTTTATTAGAAAAATTTGACAAAATAATTGATTTGATGTAAAATATTTGACTCTAGTTAAATTACACAAATCATCATCATTTTACAAAGACTCATTATGGAGCTGAAGTTCTCTCAAACTCACTATTAACTGCGACTATACATTCAACCTTATCATTATATCAGCCGCTAAACCCTTACTTGTCACAGACAAACATTTATCCTAATTAATTTCAAATTCAGTCGTAACTGACCGAAGTGGTCTAATCATCGGCTTATTTATTTTTTTAATGTTTTTTAAAAAATAAATTCTTAAAATAATATTTTTTTAAAATATATTTTCTATCTGAAATTTTTTTTGCTACTTCAATAACTGTTTCATCCACTGTCTCAATGAAATTTATTTTTTTTTAAATGTCATTTCATCTTCAGTAGAGACAAAACTATCAAATTGTGTCATTATCTAGTGAGTTTTGTTTGTTACATAAACAAAACTTACAAAATTGTACAATGTGTCATGTTCGGATCAATTTACGAAATTGGTTAAAAAAATTTATATTCTAATATTTAATTAAAATTATTAAAATAAAAAATTATATAATTTTTAATTAACTTAATTAACAACTACAAATATATTAAAATTTTATATTAAGATTATACTGTATGACACTAAAGAGAATACATGCTAACAAAATTATAAATTTAAAAGTAATTATTGTTTTAAAGTGTGAGACACATTTTTTTTTTTCAAACTAGTTTTGTAAGTTAGGTGGGATATGAAAAAATCTTAATAATTTATATAATAAATATGTATTTTTTATAATTTTTATAGATATTTTTTTAAAATTAAATATGTTTATAATTATATCAATGGGGCTGATTTATTATTTTCACATTTTTTAAAAATAAATTCTTAAAATAATATTTTTTTAAAATATATTTTTTATCTGGAGTCTTTTTTACTGCGTCATTCATTCATTATCTCGACGAAACATATTTAATTAAAAAATAAAAAAATCTAATATTTAATTAAAAATTTACATAATTTTTAATTAAATTAATTAATAATTATAAATATATTAAAAATATATATTAAAAAAATATAGTGTTAAGATTTTGTTAAATTTAGTTTAAATATTTATAAAAAAATATTATAAAAAATACATATTTATTATATTAATTATTAAAATTTTGTCATATTACAACTAACTTACAAAACTAGTTTGAAAAAAAAAAGTGACTCACACTTTAAAATGACAATTGCTTTTAAATTTATAATTTTGTTAGCAGATATTCTTTTTAGTGTCATACAGTATACACAGTATAATCTCAATATATATTTTTAATATATTTGTAGTTGTTAATTAAGTTAATTAAAAGTTATATAATTTTTTATTCTTAAATATTATTTTTCTATTTTTAATAAATTTTAATTAAATATTAGAATATAATTTTTTCTTTTTTTAACAAGTTTCGTAAATTGATCCAGACATGACATAGTGCAGTTATATGAGTTTTGTCTCTGCAGCAGACGAAACTCACCACATAAAATGAATTAAGAGAAAAAATAGACTCCTCAAAATATATATAATTTGTTTGCCTTTCATTATTTTCATCATATGTAAGTATTTCCTTTTTCTTTTAAGAATGCATTTGGTTCCATCTTTCTTTCGCTAGTTATTTCCCCTTTTAGTAATTGTAGTAATTCTGGTTTAATAGTTTTTAGAATGTCTCTTTCATATTGAAGAATTTTGTCTAATGTCATTCGATCACAAAATCCATTGACAGCTGTATAAATTATTAGAATTTGTTTTTCAATTGGAAGTGGTGCATATTGTGGTTGTTTTAGTACTTCTGTAAGCCTTGCACCTCTATTGAGTAATGCCTGAGTCGCAGCATCAAGGTCTGAGCCAAATTGAGCAAAGGCGGCGATTTCGCGATATTGTGCCAATTCAAGTTTTAAACTACCGCAGACTTGAACACATGACACAATTTGATAATTTCGTCTCTGCTAAAGACCAAACGGCATTTAAAAAAAATTATTGAGACAGTGGACGAAACAGTTACTGACGTGGTAAAAAAGATTCCAGATAAGAAATATATTTTATAAAAATATTATTTTAAAAATTTATTTTTTAAAAAACATTAAAAAAATAAATAAGCCCTAATCATCATTCACTAATATGCTCATTGTTTGACGCTTCTCACAACACGTTTTGTATTTAATAGTTACAACGTTAGTATAGTAAAGAACAAAACCACTCATGTTATCATTGACACCTGTATAAAAAAAGAAATTTCTTACCTTACCTATGCAACCTTTATATACCATACCCTTATTCTACTCAAAAAATTTTTGACTTGGGCATTAAAGTGTTTTTGCAAAAACATCTTCTATAAAGTTGAGTAGGACATCATAAAAGACCACCAACAATTTTCATCAACCACTTGCAAATGAGTATTTAGTCAGCCCTCATATCAATATTTAACAAGTGCTAGACAGAATAAGAAGTTCATGCATGTGCTTATTATTAGGCAGTGTCGATTTAATCATCATTCTCTTTCTTTGGTTGTTGTAAGTGGAACTGCATTGATAATCACTGGTCTCCAGATTGTACACATACCTAATCTCAAAATTGTGATTTTATTTGAGCTCCCACTGTTATCACGGGGCAATGGTTCTATGGAAAACATGTGAAATGTTTTCTTGAATTATATTACTCTCCAGATGAAACGATTTTTATGAATATTTACTTAATGTTATAACAATTTTTTCGTACACCTCTTCAAAGACAGAACCGAACTAGCAATGGGTTTTCAATTGAAGACGTGTTTCTCGTGTTAACCTTTTTAAAAGCATTCTTGGGCAATTGGTTATTTCATTCTACATTGACAATCTCTTACCCTGTACAATCTTAGTAATAGTTAATGTTGATTACAGTGACCAAATATTATGAATTGAAACTCAATGCATTTTCTTTGAAACCAAAAAATCTGGAGAAAAACAGTTGAGTTAGGACAAGGAATTTTGGCTTCTTAAAACAGCATTTTACTAGTTCCACTGTTGCTAATTTTAATTTGAATTCATCTTTTTAAATTTTTATTAAGAAAAGGAGAATGATATCTACAATAACATTTGTAACATTGGGGGAAAAGCAAAGAGAACCAGAAAGACCATCCATGTCCACATCACATATCAGATTACAACAACAACGAAAATGAAGAATGAAAGTCTGAAGGATAATGTAACTCCGACCTGTACAGTATACTAATGACATAATTCTTTACATGTAATAATATAATATAATCTTTTGGAATATAAACCAAATCCTATCTGTCAAAAGGCTTAGCAATTAGCACCACACAACTGTTGTATGAAACAAATTCTGCCAGCTTGCCCCACCCACATGTATATTTTCTTTTTGCATGATATCTACACACACTTTGTTATGTTCAATCTGTTCAAAAGGTTGCTTCATTTTTTTGGCTTATGCCATTTTTTTAATCATAAGAGAATGGAAGATTATTACATTCTTTAGTGAGGCAAAACTTTCTCTCATTTTAAAAAAATCTAAAATGGTGATCAGAAGAATATGTAAATTTTCACCTGAGTTAGGATTGGGTCTACAATGTCCAATTCTTTGGATCACCATAGACCTTATCATATAATTGGATGAAAAAAATAAATCTTTATGAATAATCAAAATAGAAAATAAAAAATAGTTCTTTTGATTTTATAATAGGCAGGTGATCACTGCATTCACAATCCTCTGTGGTAGGGGAGGCATTATATAATTTAGCAAAAACTGACGACAATTTACATGTGATCAATGTTGTAATATTTTTTTTATTATATATCTCATTCAATAAATTGTTATTTTTTAATATATTTATAATTTTAATCGATGCATGGAATACGTTCACACGTTAATTGACAATAATGTGATATTAAGGAACTAATTTAATGGACATCACAACATTAATTTAACATGATGATACTGTGATACTTAAATTTATATAAAACCATCTTTAGAGAAACACAATACATGTTTACCAAAATTGAAAAGTAAGTTGAAGAATTGTAGCCACCAGCCCCTTCCGCAAGGAAGCATGCCACAAGCAATAAGATGGCAAAATTTTGGCTGTTCGAATGTGTAACCTTTCATTAATTGAAGAGCCAAGTGTTATGGGAAGAACTTCAAAGTTTTCATTTTATTTATTGGAAACTTTCTGTTTAAGTAAAGATCTAATGTAGATATATAGCATTTTTATTTATTAAGAAGATGAGATGAAGCTATAATATTTTTCATGTGTTAAAATGAATTATTTTATGGGTTTAATTTTGTTGTATTATTACTATAAAAATATTTACACTGTAAATCAATTAAAATAAATCATGCATATAAATTTTTATATTAATTAATACAAAAAATAGCAATTTTTACTGGTATGACAATATAATTGAGTGATAATATACCTTTTTTTTTGTATTATTAGTATATTTAAAATAAATTCTTAAATACAATTTAATTCATAATTTTTATATTACTATATTTTTATGTACAAAAAATGTGTCATTATTAGTTTGATATATCGTGATTTTTGTAATATAAATTTAAAACATTACAATATAAAAATTAAATATTTTACACCTAAATATACTGTATTTATTTTCAATGTATACTTTATTATACAAATGAGGGTTCATTTAAACATATTATAAGATGCTGCTTTCAGTAATTTAACCCTTACACATAACTAAGTCCAAATTTTACTATTATTATTATTATTAAGAATTTTTAACTTGTTTCATTATAGAAAAGCCTAAGGTTGGCATTTGCAATGGAGTGAGAGGGAGGTGAAAAATTAAAGTTGTATATCTTCACAACGTTTTCAATATGATATTTTATACATGAAACATAAATAACTAAAGATAAAATTTCATATTACTCAATTGTATAACAGTATGATATTATAAAATATATATGAAATTAATAAAAAAAAGCATAAATAATTGAATATTATTGACATTGTACATTTGATCCACATGTGACACGCAGCTCCAAACAGGACATCCCTAATCCCCTTGAGTACATATGAGCTGTACTGCACGTCAGAAAAAGCAAAGTCATGACCACCCTACTCTACTCTGCACATATTATGATAATAAAGACACCCATAATTAGGCCCACTATAATCAATTTGGTGGAAAATTTCAGAGCAGCTAAAACTATACCACTGAACAACCCCACACTATTTATTATTTCATTGTTCTTCATGTTCATCAAAATAATACAAATGTAAGATCCAAGACAAGGATCCCTTCATACCTAGAAAAAAGGATAAGGATCCCAAAAATCATTCAAAATCTCGTATAAAAATTGCAATTGTGAATTATGAATTGACATTATCTTGTATTTAGAGATATACTAAACTAAATATAAATTATTTCTTTTTATTAAATTATATGATATGATTATATTAGAGAAAGATAAAGTTTTGTTCAAATTTAATTAGTGGGTGTTGTAATCTATCATAATGATTCTTAATTGGCGAAAATTATTTTTTTTCCTAACATAATCATATATTGTTAATTAAAATTTATATATAATTTTTTTGAATATAAAATTCAATATTATTATCAAATACTATAATGTTTTTAATAAAAACCCACACATTAAAATAATCAATGAACTAATTATAAAGCCAATTGAGCTCCCCTCTAGTAAGGTGTGATTTGTTTTGAAGTTTACTCTTCTTACATTATTGAATTACAGCTTGTAAATTGTTAGATCCTATTAAAAATAGTTTTGTATTTTAAGTTCGACTCAAACCATAATCTGAGACTAAAAATTATGCTAAAACGTAATTCAATCATGATTTGTAAACATCTTATTTGTGAATAAAATAATATTTGTATTATCCAATTACTCCTCAATCATGATCACAGATGCACAGAGCTAAAAGTAATATTTGATTAAACGAAGAATTGTAATGAAGGGCAAATAAGTGTAACAGTAACACTAAACACTAAGGTAAAGTGTTGCAAGTTGGAACAGAGAGAATAACTACAACTATGGTTTGATTACAACCACAGAACTTAAAACAAAAAATGTTGGCTATGTCCATGTGCTTGGTGAAGCCTGTCACTTTCCCAACGGTCATTTCTTATAGCCCATCCGATTTGTTCTTAATCCTGTGGCTGTGATTTTCCTACCGTTAATATGCGTCAACCTTTTACTTGTTTTTTTCAAAGTCAGAGAAAATTGAATTTGAAGGAACTACAACACAACTCACACGTAGATTATTGAAATTTGAGGTGTGCAGAAATTAACGAGGATTCTACTTTTTTCAACACAGCTCAGCTAATGATATCTCATTTTTCACTACGTAACATTATTACGGTTCTTATTAATATTTTATTAGTTTTGATAAATTTTTAACATTAAATTATTTCTTGAATGCTGCAACTGCTATACTATCACGACAATCCCCATGTCATCAAATAATATGTAATTAAATGTCTGATTATCAATTTCATATATTTATGTTGATAATCAAATAATATTCACGTATATGTAAATGCTCTGTAGATGAGAATGAATATTTAAAGAGCAGAAGAAGATTATAACAATAATAATAACAATTCTATGTAAAAATCATTAATTACAAAAACGAGATTAGAGAAGAGAGGATGACATGATCCTTAAGTCCGTGGCGGATATAACAAAAAGACAAAGGAGCCAGCATGTACTTGCTCACATTGTTCCACACTTTTCAGAAAAACGTTTTCTCTTTTTAATTATAAAAATACACACAATCGTTTAACCCCCCTTAACCCACATCATATTAATTTTTTAATAGTAAAAGTGCCATAATCAAAATAAAAACATAATAGCACTTTGCTAAAAACAAAAAAAAAACAGTGACACTGGACCTTTTTACCTTTTAGTTTACAACATATAATATAATATAATATAGTTACTAGGCAGGACAGCAAATAATGGACTTGCTTTTGTAGTTTTCAGTTTTCTCTTTCTACTATATAATGAGACTATTCTCATCAAAAGTTCATAACATTTGTAAGAGATCATAAGCTAAGAAAAGAGGGTAAAGAGGTTGTGTTTGATTGTACTTGTAAGAGTAAAGAATGGAGAAAGAGGAAGATGTTAAGGTCGGAGCAAACAAATTCTCAGAAAGGCAACCATTGGGAACAGCAGCTCAGAGTGACAAGGACTACAAGGAGCCACCTCCAGCTCCTTTGTTTGAGCCTGGTGAACTCAAATCATGGTCCTTTTACAGAGCTGGAATTGCTGAGTTTGTTGCCACTTTCTTGTTCCTCTACATCACCATCTTAACTGTCATGGGTGTCAATAGGTCACCCTCTAAGTGTTCCTCTGTTGGCATTCAAGGAATTGCTTGGGCCTTTGGTGGCATGATCTTTGCCCTTGTCTACTGCACTGCTGGAATATCTGGTACCTACCCTTAAATTTCCACATACTTTTTTTTATGTAATTTCATTGAATAATATAATATAATCATCTTAGACTAAGAAAGATACATTTTTTATTACAATGAACCATAGTTTAAAATTAAAATGTGTATTATCATGTTTAGATTCAAGTTAAAATAAGCATAAATTTGTCACACTGTATATTATATTACATTATTTGACAAAAATGATTATTATTGGGTTTTGGTGGGTTGGCATTTGATGAACTAACTGAGACATTTGTGTTGGTTGGCACAGGAGGACACATAAACCCAGCAGTGACCTTTGGGCTGTTTTTGGCTAGGAAGCTGTCTCTGACAAGGGCATTGTTTTACATTGTGATGCAGTGTCTTGGAGCTATATGTGGGGCGGGTGTGATGAAAGGCTTTGAGGGTAATGGTAGGTATGAAATGTTCAAAGGTGGGGCTAACTTTGTGAGCCCTGGATACACCAAAGGTGATGGCCTTGGAGCTGAGATTGTTGGCACCTTCATTCTTGTCTACACCGTTTTCTCTGCCACTGATGCCAAGAGAAACGCCAGAGACTCTCACGTTCCTGTATGTTCTCTTAATTTCCATCTTCTTAGGTTCTGGTCTCTTGTTTTATGAAACAATTTAATTTTTATGAAAAGAATGAGAATTAAAATAATAAAGATAACATTTAAAGGGTGAATTTTAGGATCAAATAGTATAATTATTAAAAAAATAAGAATTAGTTTGGTAAATTAATGTGGTGAAACTATAATTGTAGATTTTGGCTCCTCTGCCAATCGGGTTTGCTGTGTTCTTGGTGCACTTGGCAACCATTCCCATAACAGGAACAGGCATTAACCCAGCTAGGAGTCTGGGAGCTGCCATAATCTTCAACAGGGACCTTGCATGGGATGACCATGTATGTATGCTTTTAATTTGGAATTTTGTTTGTTCTATATATTTCCATTTGACTAGAAAATAAATAATAATAATAATAATAATTTAAATTGCAGTGGATTTTCTGGGTTGGACCTTTTGTTGGAGCTGCTCTTGCTGCTATATATCACCAGATAGTCATCCGAGCCATTCCTTTCAAAACAAGAGCTTAGAGCTCCGTCGTTATTATTATTATGTATCCGCTGAGTTGTATTTTACATTTCCGACATTCCTCTGAATTTTTTAGTGTCAATCCATCTTGTGGATGTAAATCAAGAGATTGTATTTGTGACATTTTGAATTGTTTATTTTATTATGCTATAATTATATTTTTTGTTGTCTTTAATCTCTCTCTATATAGGGACGAACATAGGTTAAGATGATGTTCGAGTTTCATGACCCTAGTTTATATCGGATTTAGGGTTGGACTATTCTTATTTATTAAACATGTCAAATTAATATATATTCTTAAAAGTCTTTTTAGTTAGAAAAAAGTTAGATTTCCATACCAGCTAATAATAATGATAATAATGTTGCATTTTATTTACATATTTAAATTTACTTATTTGTATTTGTAAGTTTAAGTTTGTTAATTTATTTAAAGGTGTGGTTTTAATTAATTTTAAAAAAAATGTAAAACTAACTTTTAAACAGCTAACAATGAATGAAAAATAATAATATCATTAATTTTTTTTTTAAATTATTACAGATTAGAGTATCTTATACTTTAAATTTATTCTTAACAAAATGTTGATGTTTAAAATATAATAATAATAATAAAATACATTAAAAAAAAACAAGTATAAGATTTGTTCTATTGTAATAATACTCTCGAACAATAGTTGCATTTTTCAATTGGAACAAATGTGCACGGATGAGGAGTTTTTAATTTATTTTTTTTTGTAAAATTATGAAAGACTAATTAAAATTTGGTAACTTTTTGTTATTCTAAATTATAATCTCATATTTTTGTAATTTTTTTTAAATATAATTTTAGTATGTATAATTTTTTCAAGTTTATATATAAAAAATTAATCTTGATGAAGAGTGGATAAATTTTATAACAATAATAATACCAGAATATTATATATCTATTTATAAATGTAAATATATTTTGATTAAAAAGTTTGCTAAAAATTAATCATGAAATAAATTAACAAGTACAAAATAATACAAAAGAATAATTTAACTACTTGAAACTTGATAATTTTATATAGGGGTAAATATATTTTAATTAAAAAGTTTGTTAAAAATTAATCATGAAATTAATTAACAAGTACAAAACAATATAAAAGAATATATTTAATTACTTGAAACTTGATAATTTTATATATCTTAAAAATCAAGACAATACGTTAGAAAATGAGTATGAAATGTAAGTTTCTAAATTAAATATATTATCTTAAATAGTTAACTCCGAAATTTTAACTTTTACACAAGCTCGCGTTGATGAGTTTTGACTTGTGAGTGTGTGCAAAGGAAAAATGTGGTTTCTTGGTTGGAAAGGAGCGTCAGGGTTCTCAGCCTCTTCCACAGCCGAACAAGTCACTCAAGGGATCGATGGAACCTCTCTCACCGCCATCGTCACAGGTTTTTCTTTTTCCAAAAAAAGAAATCCATCATGTGTTTTTGGGTACTAAGAAAAGTTGGGTATGTTCCCACATGAAGCAAGTTAATATTTTTAAAGGTTATCTATCTTAGAACGCGATCATCAAACCTGGGAACACTTTGTGGGATGAAATGAAAGCTTGTCAATGTTTCCTTTTTCTTAGGTTGTTTTATAGTTTAATGATGCATTAAGGCTTATTCGAATGGTCACATGGCATTGTTTTGACCAGAGCTTTTGTACTGACTGAGAATAGCCCTTATAGAAGGCTAAGGACTTAGGATAATATTGCATACTGTAACACTAGGGAGATTGTTTTTCCTCCTTTGATTCCTTGGTGATCAGTTTTGCTGAATTATTACTCTTAAGATCCATGTAACCTGTTATTTAATATAGATGGAGGTGTTAAATTTGCTATGGTTTCAACTATCATAATTCAGTGCTTATTTAGTACATTTTCAGGAGCATCAAGTGGTCTTGGTCTGGAGACCACCCGGGTTCTTGCATTGCGTGGTGTTCATGTTGTTATGGCGGTAAGGAATGTGGACGCTGGTATGAATGTCAAAGAAACAATACTTCAGGAAATTCCCTCGGCTAGAATTGATGTTATGGAGTTAGATCTTAGCTCTATGGCGTCTGTAAGGAAATTTGCATCAGATTTTAATTCATCTGGTCTTCCACTCAATATCCTGATGTAAGTACTTTTGAATGTAGTTGTTTTAGATATGTTAGGTACTGTTTTGTTTTGTTTATGTATCTTCAAGTGGTTGAATGTGACTGATTGATGTCTTCTGATTATATACTCTTAATCTTTCTGGAAAAGTTGGTTGTCATTTTTACTGCTTCATTGTTTGATGTGGTGATTGATAAACTCTTCCGGCTATAGTAGGAATATCCTGCTTATACTGTTCCATTGCAAGTTCTGTACTCTAGTTGGGATATTGCATGGAAAGACCTCTTCTTATCTGTTTTTATGTGTAGATTGCTCGTGTGAAAGTTGAAGCAAATAATACTCTTTCTTTCCTTTGAAGTAACAATGCAGGTTTGATGGCAGCTCCATTCACGCTTTCCCAAGACAACATTGAACTGCAGTTTGCAACCAATCATTTGGGTATTATATTGTTACATGTTTCTGCAAATGATATATTACTGAAAATTGTTATTCTCTAATGACATACTTAAATAGTTTGAATATTAAGATTAATTTTTAATACTATTTTGCAGGCCACTTTCTCTTGACAAACCTTTTATTAGAAACTATGAAAAATACTGTTCGAGAATGCAACCGGGAAGGAAGGATAGTTATTCTATCATCAGAGGCACACAGATTTGCATATAGTGAAGGGATTCGTTTTGATAAGATCAATGATGAATCAGGGTAATGGTCTGGTTGGAAATTGAAAGATAAATCTTTTTCTCTATTTACTACTAATCTCTTGCTATTAAAATTTATAATAAAAATTTAATTTTCCTGTCCAATGTTTTTAGTTCCCAAATTTTATAATTCCCTCCTCTATCTGATTCTTTACAGATACAACAGTTATTATGCTTATGGACAATCAAAACTTGCTAATATTTTGCATGCAAATGAGCTTGCAAGGCGCTTGAAGGTATTATCTCACGAAAAGTCATATCTAATTAATGGAATTTCATACGATTCCACTTTATTTAATGCAATATTTGTGAACTTAGTGGTTGATTTTGATGTACCCCCATACATGTTCCTTTGTTTGACAGGAAGAAGGAGTAGAAATAACTGTTAACTCTCTTCATCCTGGATCAATTATTACAAATATTCTGCGATACCATGGTTTTGTTAATGGTTAGTATCTTTACTATTCAATTAGTGGACAAGTGTGTTTGTTGAAGTATCCTTACATTATGTTTAAGATCGACTGATTGCTATGCGTAAGTTGTAAAAAGGACATAAAGAGTAGCAAAACGGAATTGTACTAGCTGATGATTCTTATATACAATTCCTTGCATAATCATTTGGATTTATTATATTCATGTATCTAATATTTGGTTTATGCAGCCTTTGCTAATATGGTGGGCAAATACTTCCTGAAAAATGTGCAACAGGTATTTTGTCACATACATAATATACCTACAGCAATATGTGTGTGTTGCATGGCATGCAATCCTTGTGCTGCTGATATGCTGTTAATAATCTAAACGATGGACTAGATTTTTAGTTATTGAGTTGTTGTGGCATTTTCACAGGGAGCTGCAACTCAATGTTACGTGGCATTGCATCCACAAGTCAAGGGAATATCTGGTGAATACTTTATGGACAGCAATAAGGCAAACCCAACTGCTTTGGCTAACGATTCAGATCTGGCAAAAAGACTATGGGAATTCAGCTTAAGCTTGACTAATCCAAAGTAATTTAGAGGGTTTGTTTGACTGGTCTGTACTAGCAAATTCCATGCATTTAAAAAGAATTGTATTGGAAAAAAGTTAGGGAGACGTGAAAATTGTGGTGTGTAAGCTATATGTCTCTTGAAGCTTTTTAGTAGTTACAATCCAGACTACACATTACTGTTTTGAGAACACAATTGTTGAAAATCAAGCAATATATTATTAGTTTTGGAAATTGTATACACATGCGGCCATGTCTTTTTATGTATGAATTATTATGGACTTGGCAAATAGACGCTTTAATCTGAGTTGATTGGATTGATTTGTTTGGGAAATAAAATGGAGGGCGGAATTAATTTTAAAATTCTAGTTTGTCTGAAACTGTGCATCTTCCAAGTGTAGTCGCTGCAATGCTGCAACATTTTCAGCAGTTCTACCCGCTACCGGCAGACACTTTATACATTCTCTGACACTATCGAATACATAAATTTACTCGGACAAACCCGACAGTAAGTGGAGGAAAACATTGGTCAAATAAACTATAACTTTGTTGATATCTCATATATATACAGAGACATTTGTCTCTAATCCGCTTTGGTTCCAGCACCTTTTTCAGCCAGGATGATAAAACAACAAAACAGTGACAGCAGTGAAGTTGGTAATGTACGACTCCTTAAAAGTGCTAAAAAAATGTTTTACGCATGACCGAGACTGGATGTTGCATCTCTAAGGGCAAGCGGACACCAGAACTTAGTTCTGAGACCGTCCCAGCAACAAAAACTGACATTTTGCCTAATATCCAAATATAGCCATATTCCATGATTATGCGCTTTTACACTACTCGAATATGCCAACCTTCAAAATTTTAAAGGTAATTTATATGCATCACTGACATGCATATCATAAGCGATTTATACGACGGAGCACTGGGGCACTGGGCTTAAGATCCAGGAATGCATTTAGCCGCATATAATCCCTCAACAGCTGTTGTGAAACACGATCTGACAAGTATGGCTTTTCATCACGAAATTCTCTTGGGTCTCCCTGGAAAGTCTTCCCAGTATGGCTTGGAAGAGTATCATTATCAGATGAAACTATATCCCGGGAAGCATGTGTATTTTGCGAGTTTCTCCAAAACTGCTCATGCTTAGACCCCCGATAAGCAGTGCTTCCATTTGAAAAAAAACCATTCTGCGACTTTTGGATCATACCCACAGCTTCAAATGAGAATATTGGTTGCTTTGTCTGATGAATTGGTATTGCACCACCACTACTGGCCAGTGGTGTAGCCGAGCCAGATGCAGGATGAGGGGTAGATATTGGAGAGGGAGACATCCTTCCACTTGTATGCAATGATTTAGAAGGCAAAAGTAGGCTCCCCGAGGGAGAAACGGGGCAAGAGATGTTCCTTAGTGTACGTCCATCACTGAAAACAAAGGGCCCAAGAAAATTTAGTACCTTCTGTTTGATATCAAAGTACATTGAATAAAAAAATTATAACCATCACAGGACAAGAATAGCTACTTACCTAAAGTAGTAAGTGCTAAAATTATGCAGATTTCTAGCTTTTAAACTATTCACGTGTACAAATGAGCACTAGAAACATTCATTGCACAAGTACATTGTATAAAAATAGCTTAACTATAAAGCTACTTACCTAAAATAAGTGTTAAAATTATGCAGGTTCCTAGCTTTTAAATATTCACATGTACAAATGAGCACTAGAAATATTCATTGCACAAGTATACCGATGTATTTCTTATTGTGACAATCTCTCGTGCTGAAGTGTGTGCATTTGAGTTTGGAATAGATAGATAGAAAGACCTTGATCTAGAGTCAGTTCTCAGGCTTCTAGGCAGATATATACCAGCCACTTCTGAGTCTAAACATAAATTACGTTTGGCAGGTCCAAAGGCCTAAAAGAAATTCAAAGCAATGGATTAGTAGTAAACTCATACAATCTTATTTAAACAACATAGATTATGCACAGCCTAAGAAAAATAACGCAGCTGTGCAAAGGATGATAGCATGAATGATGACATACCAAAGATCTCACTGCATTTGTAACATGTGTTGCTTCTGAAGAATCAGCAGTGAAAATGGATCTTTCCAGTATAGCATTTTTAACAAATGGATGCTCTAGAAGTTGAGCAGCTGAGGGACGATTGAGAGGATTCCTTTGCAAACAAAGCCTGACAAAATTTTTTCCATCTTCTGACAGTTGATCTGGCATTGTAGGAAGTTCCTTGCTGTTCCCAATCTTAAACATAGCAGCAACCTTGAAGCAAGTAGTGTAAAACAGAAGATCAAGTTAAGCACACAATGTTTCTATACAAGCATGCGCTCCAAATCTCCAACTAAGATTCATATATTTGTGTCAGAAAATATATTTCAAATGCAAATACAACAATATTCAAAATGTTTTTAGTCTGCCAATAAATTCACTTACCCCTTCATAGTGGCTCCAGGGAGGTTTAGTTGTTGCCATCTCCAAAACAGTGCATCCAAGACTCCATATATCAACAGCAAGATTACAACCATTTGAATTTTTTATAACCTATATAATTGAGGGAGTGACACAAATAAGAATACTACTCCTGAGGCATCAGTGACAAAAGGTGTTAAATGGACACAAATCATCCTGACCTCAGGTGCCATCCAGTAAGGACTTCCTTTGAAAGAAAATGGACAAGACTGCCCACTTATCTGCAAATTATATTCCACATAGGTAACATTAAAAGTCACAGCAAGATGGCAAAGCAAGTGAGTCCACCCAGTCAAAAACAGGGCAGGACAGTTAGGCCCTTGTTTTGGAATGGGTTAGGAAATCAAGTTTAGATTGAGGTTTTGGTGACCTAGAATTAAAACATGAAGAAATAAATTTTCAAGAAAAGGAAAACATTCAGACAGGTGAATCCAGCCTGTCACAAGCCGTGAGTTATGTGGGGCAGGCCATGTGATTGACAGGTTAATAATCTACGTAACCAAACTCACCAAATGTGATGGGTTGAGAGTTACTCCAACACGAACACTGGACACGACATGGCTATCGTCTAAAATATAGGACAATGGAACACCATATATGTATATATATATTCAAAAAACTATAAAGGGACATTATTTTACAATATAAGTATATAGCCTCTTTATAAAATCATCTCAAAAATTATATCATATTCACCTTCTTAAATAAATATACTATGTTCTATATATTTTTTTTCTATGATAATGAGCTTTCCAAAAAATTAAAAAAACACCATTTTTTAATATTTTAAATTGAAATTTAAGTTAAGTTCTTTAAAAGTTAAAAAAATAAATTTTTAATAATACTTGTGTGTGTACATATTCAAGTATTGATTTAGGTGTCCAAACCGAAAATAAATTATTTTTTAATTGGACACCTAGTAAGAGTGTCTGACATGTGTCAAATAAGCGTCCAAGATGTGTCAGTGTCAAAAATGCGTCCGAAGGAAACACGTCCAACACTTCAAACAAGAGATGTGTCTATGCTTCTCAACGGTTGACCCGACCATTCAAACCCATTATGCAGATATTCAACTCAAGTAAGATTATCCAATATTGTAGAAGTTGCACAGCATACACATTAACAAATAGAAATACTCTTACATGCTTTGCCATTCCAAAATCTGCCAATTTTATCTGCCCATTAGGGTCCACCAATATATTTGCTCCTTTAATGTCCCTGATCGAATCAAGTGATCAAATCAGGAGAAATTGTTTCACAGACCACAACGTAATTAGAATCAAGGCACTTATCACGTTTCAAACTCACCTGTGAACAGTGTTCTTTGCATGCAAATATGCAAGTCCTGACAGAATTTGCCGAGTATAATTACGAATAGCAATTTCACCTAACTGGCCATATTCTTGAACCAGTTTATAGATTGACCCACCAGAGACATACTCCAAGTATATATAAAGTTTGTCATTTACCTGTTAGGTATAAAAAAAATTCATAACATAAAGCCGTTAATACAATATGAAGTTGAAAATTGAGAGTCGCCACTCATGATAGTATTTGAAGTACTAAATTTCACCTCCTAAATAAGATCATGAGACAAATTAAAGAATCTGTACATTTGCTGCAGTTGCTGTTACAAAGAATTCTAATTATGCGTTTCACAATATGTTCAAGAAATTACAATAACGGATTTGTGTAAAAAAAAAGTTACATTTTTAAAGTCTTAAGTAACCAGATTCAAAAAGTGAAAAATATTTACGAATGAAGACAGTAATTCAATAAATACCGTCTCAGATCCATAATACTGAACAATATTTGGATGCCGCAACTGACTCAGCAGTGCAATTTCCTGCAAATGCCAACACATATATGTGAATATTCAACATTTATATAGTAAGAACAATTACGGAAAGCAAAAGAGGTCTAAATGAGACATAATTACACAAGCAAGCTTACTTGGCAAAGTTGCTGGGCACTTTCCCTTGATTTAGCATCATCTGAGAAAAGGGTTACCTCCTTCATTGCACACATCTCACCACTTTCTCTATGGATCAGAAGTTGAACTAAGTCAAGATCAAAAGGGTTGAAAGAACTTAATGCAGAAAAAAACATCTAGATAATCCACACCATAAAGCAAGAACAACAATAAATATCAACTTTGAATCAGGGCCGGTGTTGAAATAAAAAGATAAAGGTGAAGTAATACAGTGGTCATAGGTCCATAACAGAGAAGATATGTGTCTGGCACCCATTTGAGCAAATTTTACTCTAGTAGTACCTATGCTCTTGATAGTTATCACCTTTAATTTTACAGTTTTCTATCTATTAAAAAAGTTATTTATTTATTTTTTTTGGGGGGTGGGGGGTTGGGGTGACCATACATGCCAGGTGTCATAGTTTAAAGAGGAGTAAAGACTACAGGAAAACTAAAATAGTTTTCCACCAACTTGATACTGACCTGTTAAAACCAAGATATACATGTCCAAATGTTCCCCTCCCAAGCAACTGCCCCTTTTTCCAGCCTGAAACTGGGCTTGTTGGATTTTCTGCTCTGGAAGGACTACGAGGGGCTGAGGGTGTTGTGGATGCAGAATAGGTTGGAGGAAGCATACAAGATTTTGCGACTGTTATTGGAGGAAGTGGTAACTGATAAGTTTGTTGTTTTGCATTGTCAGGATGTCTTGCAGGCAATTCTGTTGTAGCACCTCCAGCTCGTGGATGCAGAGGGGTTACAGCACCACTCTGTATCCTGGAACAGGGACCAGGGCTTGTCATTCTGGGACTAGGTATTGGAGAACACTCAGGGCTGCACCTGTTCTGTGGCCAAAACATCTGTCCCAATGGATTCCCACCAACTGGACTATGAGCAGAAATATGGCGAGAACCTGGACTAGAGCAGTGCCCAGAAGCTCTATCTGGATAAGGCTTTACTGTCTGTAATCCAGAGTTCAACATTTGCTCAGGACCAAATGCTCTCATTGGACTTCTAGAAGGACTTGACATTGAACTATCTGGAGCACTGCACAGACCACTAGGGCAAGCTATTTGCAGATTCTGCGGACGTAAAGGAACCCCTTTTGGTGTTGTAGGTAAAGGCTTATTATTGCACAATTGAGGAGCGGGTTTTGAGGGTGCTCTTGAGTTCCTTTGAAAAGAAATAAGTGATTGATTCTCCTGTACCACACTTTAGGAGCATAGAAATAAATTTAGTTATAGAAGGGACCAAAAAAAAGGGTAAATGTGAAAACCATTTAAATAAATGTATCTAGAAGGAAACAAGCCCACCTGAAAGAACTACTAATGGTGACTCTGTTTCCATTTTCACAGTCAGATGCCAGAGGACTAACAAGATGCGAATCAAATGAATCACCACTATCAATTGAGCTGTCACTAGAGACAGATGCAGTAGCTATATCTCCCTCCGCATCTGTAGGATATTCCTTGTTAGACAAATAACCAGGTTTTGGAAGGGAAAAATATAGAGATGGCTTAGATTCTGTGCCTCTTTCCAGTTTTGATGTTAAAATAATTCCAGAATTTGCATCACCAGAAGAAGCAAGGTGTGAGCCTGGTAATGGGTGTGGCTTTGCAAAACTTTGACAACGGGAGACATGTGTCAAGGGTAGTGGTGATTGCAAAGGTGCAATGGATCTAGATTCCTTCACGCAGATAGTGTCAATATCATGTCTTCTTGATCTTCCCAACTTACAGTTGCATTTTTCTTCAGAAGCATTTTTTAACTTCCGCTGTATTGTATCAATAATATTTTCCCTGTTTCCTTTCCTCTTCACCTCTTTGGACGAAGACTTTCCCCACCATAGTGGCATGTCTTGGGAAAAGCTTGCCAAACCCACACACGTGTGGGCGTGCAGAGAGAGAGGGCAGGAACTATTTGCAAACTACAGGTGTAAATCACATTTAGCATTTGGGTTACAGCAAAGTCTATGACATAAATGTTTGTAAAATAACGAATTCAGTCCACAGTGTCATCTAATTTCAACCGAAAAGCACTGCTCTGTTCTTATAACTAATAGATGAGGCATGTGTCAGACTATAATAACCTGTACACAGAAAGTTCCAATGTTAGTTTGTTCTGTCCAAAAAGAACATGTAATAAACAAATCTCGCACGCAAAAAGATTGTGTAAAAGTAACTGAGATCAGATAATTAATAATCTATCTTGAAAATTTAGATTTTAATTTATGTCGTGGTCTTTGGCAGTTAGCAATGATAATCCTATAATGCCATAATCTACGTTACAGATGCTTTCAATTCCTGAACAGAAATCCAAGAAACCAGGAACATTCTCTGGTCAAAATTAGAAGGCAAGGTTATGATGGTTCTATAAAGTTAAAGACAACTTCAGTGTGCCATCAACTAAGGTTCACTTAGTTATAAGTTTGTCACAAACACTGAAATACCAACTTCCCCCTTATAAGCCAAGCCATGGCTCTCCCTTGTTCTATAAAAACTGTTACTCATTGTATATTCCAAACATCAAAAGAATGACACGCTGATAAACAAGTGATGAAGATAATTTAGGAACTGAGTTTTATAATTAGGCGAAGTGACCTTAGACATGATCCACATTCCAACACAAAAGAAGCACATCTAAGTTGGACAACTCCAAAAGGAACTTGGCATTTGCACAAATCAAAATTTAATAAACATTTGCCAAATTTCTTCCTCCCTCTTTCTTAATGTACATTAACTCAAAAAGGATAACTAATCAAAAATCATCTCTTTCTTGAGCACAAACTTGCCAGCACTCCCAAAAAAAATCATCTAGTCCTTTCTTCCATCTTCTCTTTTTCAGTTTGGTTTTTATGCTAATACCAGATAGCACAATTTAGCTCTGAACATGCACAATTAGCAGATAACATCACATAAGAACATAAAATCAGCACTTTAAGCACAAAGAACCAAAGGCAGAGCCCTAGAGGCGCTCAACTCAGATCCAGTTTATTCATCAACTCTCTGGAACTAAAATGATAACATAAATAAAGAAATTTAGTCGAAATCACACCCGCCAAGAACGCTTAACAGTAACAGCAAATGAAAATGCGCATACACAAGCTCCGATTCTTATACACAATCAGTAACTGGAACTTAACAAGTTCACATTCCGTAAAGAAGCATGCAAATGATCCTTGACAACGATAGGTTTTACAAATACACCGAGTGTTCAATCCAGCATAAGAAATAAAACATACCGTAACCCTACATTTACTCACTCTGTGTTTCTTGGGCACCGAAACATCGAAGTCTTGCTGAAGATACGAACCTCAGACTATAACCTAAAAAGATAGAGTGAAGGAATGGAACTTACAAGAAGAAGAAGAAGAGGCCAAAGCAAAGCAGAGGATTTACAAAACACACTTCAGTCTCGTGAAATGAGAAATTAATTAAATAATTAATATTTTTAATTAAAAATATTAAAAAGGATTCGGTGCTTCGCATAAACTGTTGGAACGACGACGCAATAGGGATCTGACCGTCAAATGACTAAGAAGGCATGGAGATGCAGATATTAGCTATTTTATGGCCTCAGTGGGCGGATGATTGGGTGCGAGAGCATGGTATTGTAGTGGAACGTTCAACAGGGAATGCTGATCTTATCTTTTGTATTTAACGGCAACTTAATTACTAAATAATAATCAATATATTCCATTGCTGTCACGATGATTTACCTAGTTAGGAGATTCTTTCTTTTTCCACTTTCCTTTTCCGACAATTACTTTATTTTTCTTTTTTTATTAAATTATAAAATATCCAAGAACATTTAAAAATTCTGTGCAGTTTTTTTGAAATATTTTATTTCAATTATAAAAATATATTTAGTATGTTATTTGTGAGATAATATCTAGATTCAATATTTATACTTAATGTATTCAACAATTTTAAATTCATCTAAATTTTTTCACACACAATATATGTAGTTGAAATTTTTAATCTAACAATTGATTTTATAATTAAATTATTTAATAAAAAATTATTAAATTATATAAAAATAAATATAATTTATATTAAAATGTTATATATATATATATATATATAATATTGATAGCAGACAACATGACTCTGAACTTTATTTTAAAATCTTTGATTTTACGTTTCTTTAAGAATATATTTAAAGCTATTGATGCTATTGCTGGAAAATAAACATTTTCTAATTTCATGTTTACTAAATATATTTCTATCATTGAATAAGTTAATAATTTTTAAAGAAATATTTTTTATTTATAATTAAATATTATAAAAATTCTTATCAAACTTTTTACTTGTGTAACATTATACATAATAAAAAATTAATAAATAATATTTTTTATTAAAATTTATAATGTTAACAATATTAATACATTAAATCATATTAAATCTTTTAATTTTTAATAAAATACGGTATTCATAAATTTTTATTGTGTGTAACGTTACACAAGTTAAAAATAATTTTATCATATATAAGGATAAAATTTGTTAACCTATGGTCTCAGTATATTTATAGTTTCAAAACTTTTTTCAAAAAGTGAAATTAATTAATTTTATTATTAAATTTTGTAATATTACTTTGATAGTTTTGTATTCAATTTTAAATAATTTAAAAAAAATTGACGCATAATTTAACAATAAATATTCATTTACATTTTTAAATAACATATTATACAGACATTAGCATAAAATAGTACGATAATTTTTTAAAAAATGATGTGAAATTTTATTTTTATTAACTTTATGAATTTTTTATCTCAGTTATTAGATTATCAAATTTACCTTCACCAGTAAGTCATACATATAAATATTAGCTTTCCTTGATTTTGTATGGATTATTATTAAATCGACAAAGAAGTTAGAACATTTAAAATTAACTTAAATTCACCACCAAGCTAAATTTGAAAGGAAAAAAAAAGCGGAATTAAGAAGTTTTCAAATGGTAATCATATTTTTCAAAAAGATCCAGACATATTATGCCTTTAATTATTTATATTTAAAAATAACAATTTTCCTAATCTCATCTTTTAAAAGTGGTTTTAAATGCTTAAAAATAGTAAATTTTGTTGAAAATAGAAATTTCCAACTACAAGTTTATCTTTGCAATATTTGATGTTTATAATGACGCGGCAGTGAAAAATAGTTTAAAAATAATATTATTTTAATAAATATTTTTTAATGATAAATAAACCTGTTTAGTTTAATTTAAAATAATAGATTTTATATATAAAATAATTTCCTATTAAAAAAAGTTTTAGTTAAAGATTCTCGCTTCTTTTGAAATTAATTATACTCACTACAAAAATGATTTGAAAAACTAAAATCTTAGTCAAGCATTAATATGTATGACGGAGCTTATCAAATATTTTTTTCAACAAATAAAAATTTCGGTTCTCACAAATTAAGCAGTCACTTAAACCTGTTCTAACAAAAATTATTTTTATAATTTAAATTATAAGTTTAAAGATAACATTTATCGTTATTGTACATCTTCATATCAAAATTCTTGATAGAATAAAATTGTCAAAGGTTAAACCGTTTATATTACATATTATTTTTCTTAAATATGCAATTTCTAGCTCAACAATAAAGACAATTATTACATGATTTAGATTGTCATTCAACCAACACGAAGACTTAGTTTATATAAATTTATAAAAAAATAAAAAAATAAAAACAATGAATAATAAGTTTCTTATAAATGAGAAATAATTAACGTTTTATTATTTTTTGAACTCATTCATTTAAATTTTAAAATTTAATAAGATAAGTTATTTTTAATTTTACAAATTTTTTATATTAAATTTTTAAACTTTTCTGAAAATTCTGAACCAAATTCAAATTTGGCGAGAAGGTAACGGGTGTCTATCTTCTCCTTGTTAGCTTAATTTTGTGGATTGAGAGAAGATGAACTCAAACTGAGAGTGTTCTTTGCATGGAAATGACTCAACATAGTGTGTATATATAAGTGATATCAAATTTCCAGAAAACAAAACTCCAAATTCCAAAATCACATCGAAGTCATCATCATCCTTCTAAAATATATTTCAACTATGATGTCATCCCAAGTATCTCAGTGATCCTATCCCCTAATTAACCAATTAACTTGCTAATATTCTGTAGCTTTTAGCTCACTTTCTTGAGGCGCGAGGCTATATATATATATATATATATTCTCCCAAGTGCAATGTGTTGGGTCAAATTTTATTTCATCATGATATCTTGTTCAACCAATGCAATGATATCAACTATGCTCCAGGAGAATTTTGATCCCTTCACTAATTAACTCCATAGTAGATTTGATTTACTACTGCACGTTCTTTCGGCTCAATAAAGACTGATTTGGCAACGTACGCTTTACTGTGAAGTTTCAATTCCATAAAGATAAAGGTTCTGTAAAGTATGTAATTAGAGAATCCACTATAAAAAAAGAGAGTAATTCAGCATAGAAGCATAATAATATACAGACGGATCTCTATATGTCTATCTAGAGATGAAGGCGACAAGAGGTGGAGGTTGACTTAATATATATATATATATATTTGGTATGAGACAAGAAGATGATTATAAAATTTCAGATAAAAGCATGGTTCCTGTAGATGATGTATATAAATTGGCACTCAATCATGGAGGATCTGATTAAAGAATTGAAAATAATAGAGGAAATGTATGTATATTATATATTTTGACAAATTTTTAAAAATGGAAAATAGAGAATTAAGGGGTCCATAAACTAGTAGGAGAAACAAAATGAAAAATTGGAAAATGTTAGCTAAATGCAATTAATGTGCACCGCATTTTTTTCTTTCTTCTAAATAAAAGTATACAACTCATGTGCAACCATATCGCTTTGTGATATTTCATAGTTTAAAAATAGAATGTAGTTGCAAGTATTTAAATCCAAATATTCAATTCTGGAACTTTGGCAGTTGGGAGAGTACGATAGAAATCCAAATACATAACAAAACTACGCAGCAGCAAAGCCTCTGTTGGCAGCGCCATATCATGCAATAACGATAAATTACAGCACAAATCACCCGTTCCATACAGTTTTCAGCAATGAAACATTACTTTCAATTTAATTTTTACAAAACATATTATATAGTATGCATCGCATCACATCACATCAGATGAGAAATTTGAGTAAATGTAAATTTTATCTATACAAATAATGTAAATTAAACTAAGATATATAAATGACACATCATCGTTCTATATTAATTAATTATATAAATTTTTATTATTGTTTTATTTAAGTGGATGATGTGTCTGTTTAATATACTAAACTTTTGCAGAATTTCATGGCGTCCATATCCATATCAAAATCACTTTTGAGTTATCTTTTCCAGCACGGGCCTCAGATCCCTGGGGTGCACATTAACCTTCAGTCCGTACTTCATGAACAGCGTGAGCGACATCTTCTGCTCCACGCGGTGACCCGGCGCGACGGCGAGGCGGTGGCGCAGCAGCACTGCAGCGGCGATCGACTTCATTTGCAGGTACGCCAAGTCCTTTCCCAAGCAAATTCTCGGTCCCGCATTGAAGGAAACGAACTTGTAAGAATCTTGCACCTCAATCTTGTCGCCATTGGCAGAGAGCCACCGTTCCGGCTTGAATTCGAGGCAGTCCTCTCCCCAGATGAACTTCATTCTCCCAACGGAGTAAATCGAATACGTCACCGCCGAACCCGCGGGAACGAAAGTTCCGTTGGGCAAAACGTCGTCGTTCACGACGTGCTTGGAGTCCTCCGGCACCGAGGGGTAAAGTCTCAGCGTCTCCGATAACGCCGCCTTCAGGTAGACCAAGCGATCAACCTCCTCGAACACTAGAGGCTCTTCGAGCCACTTGTTCACGTCTTCGCCACGTGTCTCCATCAGAACGGTGCAGAGCTCGATCAGGATATTTTCCTCCACGTGCGGGTTTTTGGTGCAGAGCCAGAAGAACCAGCTCAGCGCGACCGATGACGTGTCACGTCCAGCGAGGATGAAGTTAAGAGCCACGTGTTGGAGAAACTCGTCCGAGTAGGATTCCTTTTTCTTCATGAAGCGTGATAACAGGTCATCGTGGAGGGTCCCACTTCCGTTCTTCAATTCGAGTTTGCGCTTCTCGATGATATTCGAGAGGTACTGGTCGATGTGCTTTAGGCTTCGGCTCAGGCGCACTTCCATTCCAAGCCGGAGCCATTTTTTCAACTTCCAAAAGATCTCAGGCAAAATGAAACGTTGCAAGGTGGCTTCCGTGGCGCGGTCGAAGGATAGAGCGAAGGCGTTCTCAGGAAGGCCCACGGCTAGTGTCTGCGGGTCTTGGCCGAAAGCCAAGCCGCATATGTTGTCAAAAGTGAGCCGAAGCAAGAGGTCTTGTAGATCTACCGGCTTGTTTTCCTCCTGTGCCGTGGCTAAGATTGGGCAGAACCTGTGCTTTATGGCTCGGCTGACCCAGCGCGCCATGGCTTGGCGCAGAGTGCGGGTGGTGAATTCCAGCGCGGCCGTCTTGCGCTGAAAGAGCCACGTGTCGCCGTCTGAGTTGAAGATGCCTTCACCGAGCAAGTCGTGGAACACGGACTGCCACGTGGGGCCTTTTGGGTAGTTGTCGAAGCGGAGTTTGAGGATGTGTTCGAGGTTTTTGGGGTCGCACGTGACGGTCACGAGACACTGTTTTCTGGCGAGGAAGGGTAGGGCGCAGATGCAGGTTTGGTACGTGCCGCCACACGCGCGGAGATTGTCTGCGATCCAGTCGTGCATGCGGTTTGCGTGCTGGATGAGCCCAGGGAGGCTACCCAATAGGGGCCAGACACGTGGACCTTTGAGCGATCGAGTGATGAAGGAGAACCATATTAAGTAGGCCGCTATCGCGGATAGGATCATTAAAGCCGTTGATGCATCCATGTGACTGAGGGGCCCAACTCCAAAAGTACACACACCTTTATTAGTTGCACCTTCCAACACCGGAAAACTAAGTCCTCTTCTCACCCTCTTTCACCGGAGAGGCTGCTATTACCATTAGCAAGTAATATATACATTTGACGTATGAGTGGAATGCAGCAGCTTTAATTAATAGTATGAAAAAGGGTTAGCATAAATGGTAGTAAAATAAAGCCTAAAGCAAATAACGAAGTGGGTCTAAAAAAGAGTTGATATTAATAACGTCCTATTTAAAGAAAAAAATATGAAGGATGAATGAGTGTGAGATTTGTTGCATGCAAAGAATGTGAATGTGGAAAGTGTGTGTTGAAATTAACTTTGAAGGCTGAAGAGAAGGGAATAAGCAATGGGAAGAGCCTCGGAGAGAAGAAGGAGAGAGTATAGTATTAGGAGAGGAGGCACGTACTATGAGAGAGGAGTGCTCGCTGAGACTTGTGCGAGGGAAAGGGAAGCAAGAAAAAATGTCTTATAGTTGCGAAGCTGAAAGAGGGTCAATAAATAGGGAGGCAGAGATGCTAGACTTTGTTGAAGATTTCAACGCTTAAGCTGCATTTTCTTCCTCAGTTAGTATTCTTCACTAACGTACTCATCAATCCACCCTCAATAATGCCCACAGAGGTCGTTGGGTATATATTATGCCACATGACACATTTTAAATCTACTTTTCTTTTAAGTATCTGTTAATTAAAATTGTTGTTTTCTTTTAATAATCTATAATACAGTACTATTAAATGTGATTTTTTTATTTAAGTTATTTTTTAATACCTAAAACATTTAAAAACTACACCTAATTCTTTTTATAAAACATGTTAACTATCAAACTCATATTGATTAACGTAAAATTGTTTCGGCATAAGTTGTAGTATCATATTTAATTTTTAAAAACTGTAATTATGTTCAAATAATTAACAAAACTTTATACTTCTTATAAATGATATTTGTGTTCTAAATAATATATATAACGTCAACATTATAAATAACAACATGCTTTCAAATTTTTTTTACAAAATACAAATTTATATATGTATACTTTTTATTATAAATTGTAAAATCTTATAAAATTTAATATGTTAATAATGTTGAATGTTATAATTTTTAATGAAAAATATTAATTATATATTATTACATGTCATTATTACGCACGAATGAAAAGGAGTGTTGATGTCCCTAATGTCATGACTCATGTGAAGTATCTCCGTCTAAACATAAGTTTATTAAATTCAGCATTTTGGAAGTATTATTTTTAACGTTTTTTTTACTAAATAAATTTTATTAAATAAGAACTAAAACTCACATAATTAAACGAGTATTACGTAAAATATATTAAATATAAAATTATATTAATTTGTTAAAAAAATATATTTAATTTATTATGGTTATTTTTTTCAGTCTGTATAATTATCCTTTTTTATTTATTATTTTTAAATTATTAGATTATAATAAGATCCTCATTGATAGAGTATTATTATTTTAATGAATTTTATTTTTTTATTATATTTTAGACATTTCTGCAACTAATATATATTTAGATTACATTTTAGTTATAAGCATATGTTTTAGGATTGATTTAAAATAAATAAATAAATTTTATTAAGTGTAGTTGCATTATAAACTGATTACAATAAGTTATCATATTTGTTTAACGATAATATTACGTACAAAATTTTGTCAGATTTATTATGTATTACATAGACTTGTCAAATTAAGTGTGTTTTTAAATAACTAACTATGTAAACAGGCTGATATTTTTAATAATATTATACGTGAATTTTAATTTATACCTAAATATATATTTAAAATTAAATATATATAATAAGACTTTATATATAAATGGTTTTAATTAAAAATAAATAATATATATATATATAATAAATAAGAAATGATAGGAACACATTACTTATAATTTTTTCATATTTAAAAAGTTAAATAAATTTTTGTTTATTTAATGGGACTAAACAAAACTTAAAAAACAACAACAAACTTATCTAACTAAATTGGAAAAACAAATTCCCATCATATACGTTAATCATCTTTAAAATATATATTTAATATTGCATAAAATAAATTGATCACGGAGAGTGTGTTTAAAAAATATTATTAGTAATTTTTATTATTTATTAATTGTTTGTTGAATTTATTTAAACAACAATAATAATAAAATTAAATTAAAAAATTATAAGATATCTATTATGAATTTTAATTTATTGTAATAAAATATTGTTCATTTTTTTGCTTTAAAAATTGTTATTTTTTAATTCTTAATCAAACTATCTTAAAAAATGGTTAATTAAACTTTATAGAAACATTAAAAATAGAATAAAAACTTAATAAAATTAAGAAAAAATCTCATAAAGTAATTATTTTTAAGTTTTCTCTGTTGATACACTGTGTTTTGTCTTTCTTGATTGCGTACAAAGATGCGAACGAATTGAGTTGAATGAGTAATTGAAATACATAGTTAACTCGTGGAAGAAAAAAATATTTAAATTTAATTTATTTATGAATTATTTATTTTTTAATAAAAAGTAAAAAAAGTAAATGTATACATACACACCTTAAGTTTGAATTCAATTTATTTAAATTATCGAATTTAATTTTAAAAATAATTTTAAAGGAACATTTAATAAATTGAGTTGGAGTGATTCAGAAGTTGGTGTGCTCAAATGGGATGAAGACATTTTGGCTCGGTGGTTTCATGTGATTGGGTTGAAATTAGCGACCGACAGCAATTTTTATTTGCCACAAAAGAGGCGATATTGTGGCTTGACAAATACAAAACACAAGTCACTCTGGGTCTGCCCTTACTAGATTTAAACTTTATTTTATATTATTTTTATCACATTAATTATTTATTTTATTATTCATATCTTTCTTTATTTTTTACTTTTTTACTTCCATTCAAGAAATATATATTACAAATTCAGCAAATGAAGTAAAAATATTATATATATATATATATATATATATATATATCTTTTTATATTTTTAATATAATATATATTTTTTGAACATTTAAATTCAGCCTTAAAACCTAAAAATCAAGATTAGCAAAGTCGTAATTTTTTTAATTTAGTATTCATACACTAAGATTGTAAATATGGATAAAGGAAACATCAAAATCAACCTAATAAGATTTAGAAATAAATTGCTATTAAAGATGATAAGATTGTATTCACAAAGTATTCAAATAGTTAGGTTAGTGTTTATACTAGTAATAAATTAAATTAAAGTAAACGTTAACATCTCGCATAATAACATTTGCTGGTTGTATAAAATCATATGATGTCTAACTGTAATCCTATGTAATTAGCATGCATGCATGATAAATGATTTACGTTCCATTATAGAGTGTCAAGTGTTTCGTTTGCTCTTAAGTCAACCTAAACACAACGTGCATTTTGTTAATTTGCACCTCTTTCTAAATTGAAATTTCAGATTCGATTTGATAAGTTGTCTGTTTTTTCGATTTCTGTATCTAAAAGGGTATATGTGATTCTTCCTTTTTTCTGTGATGCGTCCAAACGATCTAAGCATGAAGGTTACAAGGATAACGTTAGAATGTAAGTATCTACTATTTAATATAAGAAACAAATAATGGGACATGATTGCAAGAATATTATTAAGATATTTTTTACTTATTGCATATTATTAATTTCCATCAAATGATAAAATAAAGAATGCTAAGAAAATGCTAGCATTAACTTTAATGCATTTGTCAAGAATCTAAAATTAGTCAGCATTAATTTAAACATTTAAAAATTAGAAGAACCAAAATTATGTATATATTAAAATATAAAGATAAAAAATTTATTATATATATCATTGAGCACGTGTTAAAAAAATATTTTAAAATTCTTAATAAGTATTTTTCTAATATTAAATATGCATATTTTATAAATATAAAAAAGTTATTCTAATTGACAAATAACACTTAAAATAAAATTATTTTTAATCATATTTTAAAAATATCTATGTTATTAAATAAACGGGTCCACTTATATAAATAATACATATTGAAGATGACTATTTAATTTTTCTATATATATTCTTAAAAAAATATTAATGACTATTCCTCAGTATGAAGATAGTAGCATATAAATTTAGTTTATAAAAATCCAGTATGTTAACATTAACAGCATTGAGTTTTGTCAAAAGTCACAAAAGCAATTAAGGATACAACAGCGGCTGCCGATAAAATGGTTATCACTGGGTAGACATTGAATGCCTCATGTTACCAAATATTTGGGAGTGAAAATCACCGAATTTAGTAGTGAATTATTTGTGCTCACTAGCGATGCAGCATTGATTGGAAAGCGATAATTGTTCTATCTATTAGGTTCAAATGGAGGCACTGCCACCCACTTTATGCTATGTTTGTGGCGGTGGAGGCGTTTAGCGCAGCCGCATAATCAGTTCAGCATTATTTAATTTCTTTGACCCTAATACAAAAAAACATCATTTTCTCCCACACCAAATTCTTGTACTTGACATTTCCATGGCTCGAGATTAGCCTCTAACCAAAGTTGTTCCAATTTCATAACTTTCTCGGTTATTTACTTACTTATTGTTTGCAGGCTATAAAGTCCACGACATTTGAGTAGGATGGAATAAAGAACATTCATGTTTCATTATTTCACTTTCTCAACAGCTTTTTATTTTTGGGAAAAGAACCACGTTAGGTGATACCTTGATGCAGAAATCACAAGAGGACCATACGGTTATAGTAATTTTTTGCGGACCCAAACACCGCTAAAAATTTTAATCAAGACTTAGAGATGAAAATAACCCAAATCAGAGTTTATTTTAAACAAATTTAGCTTGTAACATAATTATTAGGTTTAAGCTTAACCTAAAGTCTTTTAACAATTACTAAAAATATATTTTAATATTAATAAAAATATAAATATTTTATTATTAAATTAGTTTACATATTTTTTATTTTTTATCTGTTATTGATAATTATTAAATAATTATAATAAATTTTATATAATTTTATAAATAATTTTTAAAAAATTATTTAAGTACTAATTATAAATGTTTCATATTAAATAAATTTATTTTTATTTTTCTTAATTTATTTTAAAAATTATTAAAGTATTAAAGATTTTAGTTTTTTTTGGATCATTTTTTATTTGTTTAAAGACATCTTATATTTAATAAATAAAGTCATAATAAACACATAAAATTGATCACAAAAAATAACATTCACACAAATTGTTGAATCAGCTAAAAGAAAATTATTATATTTTAAAAATGAAATAAATTTAATATAATATATATATATATATAATGATAATAATAATAACTATTAAATTAAAAGAAAAATAAAATAATTACAAAATATTTAATTTTATTAATTTGTTATTTTAAATTAAGAAATACACGTAAAATTAACAACACTATAACATTAATGTAATATAGAAAAATATTATTGATA